AAACAATGAAGTGGCCCAAATTGATGCGGGCAACAATCACCGTAAATCTCAAGTTTAGCGAAATCAATCAAGTACGAATATTATAATCACTACTAGATACCCTGCAAATAAAGGCAATGCGCGAACTACTATAAAAAAATGTATTCCAATTAGTAACTGAACCGATTTAAGTTCACAACTAGAAGAAAATACCAATCAGCTGCGACTCATCTATGAAACCCTTGTTGTCCAGCATTTGCTGGGTATCCTATATATATATATACATATATATACGTATATACAAAAACGAAAATCACAATAGAATGCCTATATATAGTTTAAGGCATGTAGGCATAGACAATTTAAGCGCTTCAATGGTTTTTATTTCATATTGATTTCGATTTGGATCTCAGTGTGTGTATTTTGTGGATTTGTATTTTGTAGATTTGTATTTTGTAGATTTGTATTTGTATTTGTATTTGTATTTGTATTTTGTAATGCTGTTGTCAAAAACTATTGACCTTAAATTGTCGCAAACGCGTTGGCGTAATGAGCCCAAATTCTTGCCCATGACAGCAGATCAGATCGGAGCGACTATTTAAAGCGAATGAGCTGATATTTATGGTATTTATGGGATTTGGCTGCTTTTGGTCACATACAGCTACAGCAAAACTATGCAAATTGCTGATCGCAGGAAGCCCGCACTCATCGTGTTGTTGTTGCTGTTGTTGTTGCTGTTGTTGTTGCTGTTGTTGTTGCTGTTGCTGTTGCTGTTACTGTTGTTGCTAATGATGATGGCAATGACAGCTATGACAGTTGCGACGCATATGCAAATCAAGTTTCGGTCAATTGCATGGCCAATTAACAACAACAGCAACTCAATATCCGGGCACGGGCTCTGGCTCTGGCTCTGGCTCCACTCAGTGGGGCAATTAAATGACCAACGCTTGAATCGGCACAACAGCAACAATTACGAATGCGGAGCAGGCAGCCGTGGCAGCCACAGCCAGAGCCACAGCCACATGCAACAGCGCTTTCACTGACCAGCACCAGCTGCTGTCAGTTGCGGCACATTAAAAAAAACTACAAATAAAAATAAAAAATATTGCTAGGATACATTTAGTTATTCACATTCAGATCTTCAGCGTTTTCAGTTTATATACATATACATATATATATATATATATATATATATATATACATATGTAAATCTGTATTCAATTATTTGAACAACAATGTTCATGGGTTGTAAAAGCAGCCAAAGAATGCCTGCTTTGAATCAAGCATATTTCACTGAGCTTTACACAAATTTCAATTGCAATTCCCCGATTTATTTGCAGTGGTTCGTTTCCAACTGTCAGCTGCCAGTTGGCAATTGTCAGCTGACCACTGGGTTGACCAGTGCTGCTCCAAAATCCTAGCCAAAGATTAAAGCGTGGGCGAGCATTGGCTTTCCCACGTTGCTGGCTGGTGAGGCTGGTGCGGCTGGCTGTTGTTGTCGTCTTTGGGCTTGGTCAGCCATTAGTCACGCTCGGAGTTTTGTTTATGTGGCGCATTCGCCCGAAATCGCAGCAAATAGACATTGGCCGTTGTCTTTGGCACAGAACAAATAAACAATTTGTAATGTGTTCGGCAATATCCCATAGATGTGGTCATTGTAGCAATTCCCATACTTTAACCAATTCCAATACCAATTCCAATTCCCCTTCCCAATCCCGTTGGCATTTTTAAGTTTCCAGTTGCTGCTGATGTTGCTGTTGCTGTTGCTGTTGCTGATGATGCGCATGTGTTGCCCCAAGGCTTATTATTGTTATTGTTGCCCGTTTGTTTGCATAATAAATAAGTCAGGCTAAGAGCCAAGTTTATGCCAACATCAGCAATACGAAAGAATAACAACAGCAGCAGCAGCAACAACAACAACAAAAGCCTCTGTCTTCACTGTTACTGCCGTTGGCGTATGTTGCTGCCGTGAGACATTTGGCGCCAGCAGCAACATCCACACTTTATCGTTGTGTTAGCCAAGCGGCATTTAAGCCGCTAAAGCGGCCACTTTGTTGCACAAAAGATGGCAGCCCAGAACGTCCTATAAAGTTGTTGCACTCTCCATTCTCGCCATGGGAAGCGATCGCCCATGGAAGTCAGCGTCTCCGTCTCAAAATTGGAATCGGAGTCGGAGTTGGAGTTGCAGTTGGAGTTGGAGTCGGTGTCGAAGTCATCGGGCCATGACCAATGCGCGTTCTGTGCAATTTACAATTATTGCAAGTGGGAGCTGTCTGTGCGCATCAAAAATTGCCGACACTCCAACAAAACTGTAGCTGGCGAAGGCGTTGATCATTGCTGCGCCTTCTACACACACACACACACACACACACACACACACACAGACACAGAGCGCCAATTGCACCGGAAACCTATGGGGCTTGGCCCACGATTTGTAAGTTTTTTAGGGTCGCAGGTATTTTTTGCTGCTGTTTTGTTTCTTTGCAATATCTACAAATTGCTTAGATAGTATGAAAGTATGGCCATTATTCTAGAAACTTAAATTCAAATAACTTTTTCAAAAGACTTTGTCAAAACTAAATAAAAGCGGAGATCTGCATTGTGTTCAGTTTTGAAAAGTTGAAGTGTTGATTAATAATCAAGTTGATTAATATCAAAATGTTGAACAGTCCAATAGCTTGGCATTTATTTAACAAAACGAAATTAATACATATAAAGAAAAAATAAATATATATATATATATATATTTATTTATTATTATAATAGTTACAGTTGATTGTGGTAAATGGCTCTTCAAGGCGAACTGCTTTCCGATTGCCTGGACGTTAATGGAACCAATGGAACTGCCTTGAACCACATTCTTTACAGGATTGAGCTGCAGACTAGCGTGACTAAGATGAGTTAAGCTAATCGTATATGGATTTACACTCATATATAATCGCAATGCTCAACTGCTCAACTTCAAATTGCGTTTTCTACAAGATCAAGATCTTTTGCTGTTACTGGTAAGTCTGTCGTGACCTCGATCTATGGCTGACCAGACTCTCATCTTCTTTCATTTAAATGTATGTAGGAACAAACATATATCTATATATATATATATATATATATGTAGGTGAAGCTCACCTACATTCACGTGCATTCAAAATGAACAGATAGACGAGCAGATGGACAGAGCGAAAGAAAGAGAGGGGGAGAGAGGTAGAGAGAGAGGGAGACAGGGGAACTCATGAACGGACGCACTCAGCGAAGAGTATCAGAAAGTGATCATAAATCTGTATAACCTGTATGTTGATTTTCACCAACTCACTCGGCACACACACACACACACACACACACACATACATACATATATACATATATATGTATAGCTAGATATGTACTCGCTTATAACGAGGCAGAGTTGGAGTCGCGTTCTGTGTGCCCCCAAACATAAAAAGTGAATTTTTGCGGCACTCGCTCCACTTCAGCCTTCGACTTGGTCGCCTTTGTTTATTGTTGTTGTTGTTGTTGCTGTTGTTGCTGTTGTTGTTGTTTTTGGATGACTTTTGTACACTTTGTGCGCTGTTTTGGTTTTTGTCTTTGGCTCTCGCTTACTTTATTTTATTTTATTGTATTTTATTTAGTTGTGTTTTGTTTTCTGTTTTGTTTTGTTTTGTTTCGTTTCGTTTCGTTTTTTTCCCCCCTTTTTTTTGCGCACTTGGCCTTAATTGCGCATGCGCGCACTTTCAATTCCTTGGTATGATGACGCTTCGTTTGATTGGAGGGGGTGGGGGTGGGGGGTTGCATGGGGGCACAGAGCGTGTGTCAAATTGATGCTGTGGCAAAGTGGATTTAAAGTGATGCGACTCCGCAATGTTATAGTTCTCAGCCCATACGTGTGGCGGCGTGACATGGGGGGGAGCATGATTGAGCGGGCGAATCCAAACGAAAATTGCTCTTAGCCAGTGCGAATCGAGTACCTGACCAGCTGGCCAACTGGCAAGCTGGCCAACTGGCAAGTTCATGGTAACAGCAAGCGACAAGAAGGCAATCCAAATACCGAAGGCTGCTTACTCTTCCTACTACAATATTGTAGCTAAATTGCATTTATATTCAACACTTCAACTTTGTCAACTTTAAAATTCCTATACTAAATTCAGAGATATAATTTTTCAATGAGAGATAAACCTTATGGCGTTGATCGTTCCTTATTGGCACAGCACCAGACTTATGGCTTAATGTTTGTGCTTAAACCCAGCTCGGGTAGAGTTCTATTAGCCATGACGCGAATCCCATTCATGCGTAGAAAAACGCAAAGCCTGAATGAGCATGCTATGCTACCCTGATCTGATTGAAGTGTATCGAGAAATAAAAAATAAAATAAAATAAAATCAAGCAAAAATAAAACAAAAATAAAGAGCTTTAAGATTGTCTCGCACACAGATTTCTAGAGGCTGTCAGAGGCAGTGAGATGTTTTTATTTGATATATACATACATATATATGAATATGTATCTACACATATATTTTATATTTCTTTCTTTTTTATTTATGTTTTTTGTTTTTTTTTTCGTTGCTACTTTGGCAACAGGTTCGCCGATGTTGAGAAAAAGTCAAACGCCTCAATAATCATCGACGGCTCCGAGAGCAGCGACTCCAACTCCGTTGGCTGGCTGGGCACACTGGCAGCCGGATAAAATGAGGACAACAACAGCGACAACTTTAATGAGGTTATGTCTAGCTGGTGTGTATCTGTGCAAATGTATCTGTTTCTCTATCTGTATCTGTATCTGTATCTGTACCTGTACCTGTACCTGTATCTGTATCTTTCTATATCTGCATCTGTGTATCGGTTTGCGTATGTATGTCAACTGGGATAGGCAGCCAGTCGGCCAGGTTTGGATTTTTTGTATCTTTTTTCCCTTTATGATTATAATTATTTTTATTAATTTTTTGTTGTTTTATTTTTGTATGTGTGTCTGTTTGCCGAAACAAACATAAACCAAGCAAAACAACCAAATGCAATGCATATTTGCTTACCTCTTCCTGGGCTCTCAATGCCTGCTGCGAGCACTCGTAATTGCTGTTGACTTTTGTTGTCTGTTGACTGTGTTGTTGTTAATGTTGCTGCATGTTTTTGTTAGCTTTCAGCAAAATTGCACAAAATCATAAAATTACAAAATATCCAAAAGGTGTAATAAACACCAGAACAACTCTATAAAATACGCACAAGATTCGTTATACTCTTCACTTTACACTACAACGAAATCAAATCAAAAAAAAAAAAAAAAAAAACGATAACAAAAACAAATCGTGGCTGGAGCGAAAAAAAAGCCGTTGTACGCCTGCGCTTTCAAAATTGTTTTGGCAAAGCTTTTTTCGAAGACGCAGACGCAGCGCCAACTTTCACGTACGAGTGTTCAAAGCAAACTGACTACGGCGTCGGCGATGGCGATGGCAACGGCAACGGCTTTTCCAATACGATTGCGACTGCGCCAATCACTGCTGCCAGCGAGCAGCTCTGGCAGTCTAGCCGTTTTACGGCTAGAAATAAGCTACAAGTGCACAATTCAACATTTTAACAGACGACGCATATTAGTTTAAGCACATCTAATAATGTAATTTATATATTTTAATGCAATTTTGTATACACTGGTTAGGCAAGGAATAAGAAACGTGTAATAATATATTTTGTTTGATATTTGTTACTCGCAGGCCATCAATTAAAAATAGTATAAGACAAACTGTCAAAATTCTATTTTATTCGGTCTAAGCTGACAGCACTGTTGCGCCTGTTGTTTTCGCTTAGTCGGCGTTGCCACTGCGTTGCAATTACGCGACTGATTCGCTGCGACCGCAATCGCTGTCTGTGTTGCCTATCAACGGCTTCGACGTTGACTTCGCCGCACTTGGCTCGGTGATTAGCCGCCAATGCTGCCACAGTGGCAGCCGCCTTGTCTCAGTTAATTTCCTTCAATTTTGCGGCTTTTCGCATATGGGTTAGTACTCATACATACACATGTATGCATATGTATGTACGCACATGCATTATGTTTGTGTGCACATCAGAATGATTCAACTGTACATTCGAAATGATCGTCCGCAAATTGACCCATAAAGTTAATACATTGCTTTTGTTTGAACTGCCTTTGGCTGTGTTGGACCCTGACTACAGTTTGCATGTTGATAGATCGGCATATCGAATTCTTAAGATTCTTATCGAACAGTTTATATGTATCTCTATCTAATTTTTGACATCAGCATCTTTCCAAGCATTGCGATTGTTAAAAAACTTTACCTGTACCCGCCTTCTAGCTAGATGGGTACTTAAATATGTACGGTCGATCGTATGGATTGAAACGCATCAATATCATTCGAAACATAATCACGATCATGTTATTGGCTTTGGCTTTGGCGTTGAGTATTCGATTAGTATGCAAACAAGGTGGCCTCTACGAGTGGTGGCTAATTAAATCAGAACTCAAGCGGAAGATACTCGCAACATTTAGTTCTTATCCATAACTGATCTGAGTGCGAGATTTGATTTTTATATTTTAATTATGATGAGTAATGTAATTTGAGCAGGTATGGAAACAAAATAAAAACACCCTGCATACATAATACTTATGCATATATAATATAATATAATAAACACAAGAATGTAGCATGTTCCTTAAAATATGTATTTATCACTAATTAAATTTAGCTCCTGCATTGCCTTAATCAGTTGGAGTTCGAGTTAATCGGTTTTTACTTCGGCTTTCTGATCTCAAAGGTCTCGTAAGTATATTTCTGAATAGGCTTCAAGTTTTTGATGCTGAACTCCTTGATGGCTGCCACATATTCGCCTGCCGTGCCAACCAGATGCTTGAATTGTTCGATCAATTTACCCTCACCTTGCAGCTGACCCTTATAGACATCTGCCGCCTCCCGCACTATATACCCCCGTATTCCCAATAGCTGAGCCTGAGCAAGGGCGAATAGCTCGAGCGCCTGCTTGGGCAAATTTGCATGGATCTCGTAATCGCAGGCCATAATACCCGGCTTAGATTTATCCGCAGGCGCCATTTCCAATTCCTTGATAAACTTAATAATTTTTGCTTACTGAAATTCTAACAGATGCTGTAAACTAATTTGGAATGCCTGCTTTTCATTCACACGGAAACCCGAAACAAATTATGAGCGTTAAACACGAACTCGGCAAACGACTCTCAGATTCCTGAGACAAGCCAGCGCCAAATTGCTGCTTGTTAAAGCCAACTCTAATCTTTGCAATAGATCAGCAGCTAAAGAAGAAGAGGGGCAAAGAAAAATGCAAGAGCTGGCCAAGAAAAGTAAAACAGCAACAAAATGGCAACGTTCACAATTAATTCTCGTTATTAATACATATTATATATTAGATAAGAATATAATTAAAACCAAAAAACAGTAAGCAAAGACAACAAACAAAAAAAAAAGAATCAATTTTAAATTAAATCACAACTCGGTTTTAAGTCTTTTTGTAGAATGTAACTGTTGAGCGGTATTTGTATCTCAAGTCAGTCTAGAAGCGATTTATCTTAACTTGGTTTTTCTTCGACTCTTCCGTTAACACGGGCACTGCGGTGCGCCTAGTGGGGTGAACGTAAGAAATGATTATAAATTAAAAAAATTGCTTAATTAAATAGCGAAGACAACGACAACGACAACGACAGCAAAAGCAAAAGCACACGCACAGGCAGAGGCAGCTGAGGCAACACACACACACACTCAATAAAGACAATGCAACAAGCTGAAGTAGCTAACAGAAGGGCGGAAAAGAAAACAAGAACAATTATCTGCGATACACCGAAGATAAGATACTCTTGATTAAGTTTGATCTGATGATTGCTCAAAAATCGCACATTTGAACTTGAATTAAAGTCATAATTGAACAGCTTGATTTCAATAAGGAAAAATACACACACAAATATTCAAATATCTGAAAAATCTTTACCTAGTTGCATTATCAGCAATCCCTATCCTATACAAATATGGTTTCCATATTTATAACTCATAGCTCTGGATAACTTTTAAAACTATATTCACATTTACGTTCAATTTGCAAAGCATATTTTTATATGTATATTTTTTAAGTATTATTACATGCTGTTAAAAATCTTCTTTTGATTTATAATGTAAGAGTATAAAGAGTATGTATCTATATCTATATATATGCACATGTGTGCTAGAGTCAACAATGTCCATAATGAATACGTTTCGGCTTTTGTTGCTTGTTTTGTGAATTGAAACTAAATGCGAAAAGTTGTCAACCTTTGGGGCACTTTACACTTACACACTAATGTCGCCTGGCACGTGACGTCACGCAGCGTGTGTAAGCGTAATTTTCCCAGAAAGAGTCGGAAAATTCACTACACGCAATTATGCGCAATTTTCTTGGCAGTGGAACGAATGTGGAAAAAATGGCGCGCAATTATTATTATATAAGTCCAGCTCCAGATTAAACAGATACAGCCAGCCAGATACACACACACACGCACAGAATAGATATAAAGGCATACAAAGGCATACATAGACGAGTATATATTTAATGGATTCCTGTTAACAATTTCATATTCGATTAGCAAACGTTGTTCGTGACTGAACGGAATTAAGCTTAAGTGCTAAGTATATAGATACAAATGTTCACATATAAATTGTATTCAAAAAAAATTAATAATACACATAGGTATTATATAGATGGGTATACATGATATTCATATAGTTTACACAAGATTCATTTTTGCATTTTGACCCACACAGAAGCCATGAGAATTTCGATTCACCAAAAAAAAAAAAAAAAATTATAATATATATATATACATATATATATGTTGGAGACCCCTTGGCTGTTTCGGTTTGTTTTTTTTTTTTTTAGGGGGGCTTACGTTCTGCAAATGGACAGCGTGTCCAGTAGAAAGACGGCGCCATTGATGATCATCAACGAACCGGCAGCGATGGCATTACGCTTGCGATCCTTCAAGAACTCATACATATCATGCCACTCATCAATGACCAATGCTCCAGAAGCCACAAAGAGAATGCAGCCAAGCAGCGAGATCAGCGCATTGAGGCGTTTCTCCACAACCGAGCCGAGAACATGTCCTGCGCGATGCGAAAAAAGAATAGAAAATGAGAACAGAGAAAACAAATTGAGAATCACATTTGAATTGAAGCTGGAATTTGAGTGGGCGTTCCGAGTACTCACCGACCAGCAGCACGGCACAGATAATTGTGAAGCCGCCAATGGTGCCGCAGACAATCAACGGACGCTTGCTCAGATCCCCGACGACCTCATAGAGCACGATGCAGGCAATGGCAATGCCCTGTGAATAATAATAGAATAGAATAGAATGAAAACAATATCATTAATAATATGCAATTAATTAATACGTGAGCATGACTTGGCCCTGACCCTGGCCCTGGCCCTGGCCCTGGCCCAGGCCCTGGCCAAGAGTAACATCTAAACCAAAAACTGTTATCATTTTCGGTTTACAGGGTGTATCACAATTATGTTATTAGATCAATTTTGTAAGCTAGTCCATGCTTAAAGATAACGCAATGAATCTTGAAATACATTCGTCTTTTTTACTGAAGGAGTTATTGGTCTCATTGGTCTCCTGTGGGAATGGGTCAACATATGCAAAAACTGAACCTCTTTTCAAAAAGAAAAATGGCTATTTGGAGCAGGGTTTCTAGATGAATGAAACATTTCACAAAACACAGTCTTAATTTGAGTTATCAGGTTAAACAGGTCTTATCACACCACATCACATGTGTATTGAGCCCAACAGAATCAGTATAAATAACTAAAGTATGCAATCAATATTGGATGATGTGTGATTTTTTGTAATATTTATTTGGCATTAATTACGACAAATGTGTCGGCAATAAAAATAACAGCAGCGACAATGGCCAACACTCCAGATGCCAGCATGGTGTTCTTATCTCTGGCCGCCTCATAGCAGCCAGACCAGCGACTGAGAATGATGGCGCCAGTCGACACAAATAGCACACAACCCGAAACGCTAATGATTATATCGATGCGCTTGTCCACATTGGCGCCCAACAGGTGTCCTGCAATTGGATTGCAATTGGCATTCAGGCAATTGTGGCCACAATGTACAATTGGTACATTTTTATAGTTTCATTACCTACGCTGAGGGCACTGCATATGATCAGGTAGCCGGTGAGCGTTCCACAGACCAACATCGCCTGGCTGCTATAGCTGAGATCCGCCACGGTCTCAATCAATATGATGATGCTCGCTGTGAATATCTGCGATGAGCGCACTCAAAACACGGATCAGGCACAGAATCAAACAAACAGAGAAACAGACAGACAGACAGGCAGACAAACAGACAGATAGACAGTCAGACAGAGAGTTGACACGGATAACTCGAATGGAGTTGGAGTGCTGGAAGGATTCACGATCATTTGGAAGTTGGAGTTTCAAGTTGAAAGTATTGTTTTATAGAAATGAGAAGACGCAACATGAAATTATGAATAACATCTATTGGAACCTTTGATAGATTTGTCCAGTTCAAATTATATATGGCCACTTTGCATATTGAATAGTGTTGAACTATATATATGCATATATGTATATGTATACAGGATTGGACACCGCAAGGGCTATTTATATGCCATAAATAAGATAGAAGACAGCATTTCATTTTGCCATTTAAATCGACCAAAGTCGATGGGCTTAAACACCATACGCAATTCGCAATTCTGGCAATGAGGTATGAGGTGATTGGGCCAATTTGCTTATCAAATATGAAAATTATTTTGACATTGATAGTGCGAAGCTAAATGGCTAAATGGCTAAATGGGTGTAGTAATATTGATGAGCCATTTAGCACTCAAACTGTCAACAAATGGATCAATTCAGCTATCTATGTATATGCGTACAAATGTATATATATCGAATACAGATGAATTGCGGACGCGCCCTGGCTATAAATGTGGCAAGTGTGGCATATGGTAGCCAGGGCAATCAATCAATCAATTAGAAGCGCCGTTAGTCGCTGCTAATTGCCAAAAGCTAAAAGGATGCGACACGGTTACGTAATACGTAATATGTAATACGTATCCTGCTCAACAACAACAACGACGACAACAACAACAACAACAAACCACCCACCCACGCCAATTGTTTGATTTGTAATGCGAGCTGCTTGCAACAACAACAGCAACAACAATAATTATGGCAACAAAAGGTCATTAGAGTATCATGTTTGGGAGCGTTGAGATAACACACACACACACACACACACATATCTCATATCAGTCACTATATGGATGCAGACACATACATCACATCGCATCGCTTTGATGGGGATGGGGATGGGGTTTACGCATTGTTTGCGTTGCGGCCATTAGCGGCACATAAAATTGACTGCTACCACAAAATGATGAATGTCAATACCAATAATTACCAAATGCTGGAAGCCATTTGTTTGCACTTTCCACGCACATTTCACCTTTAAATGAGAATGTTCGCAATGCTTAAATACAAACAAAACATACATAAATATTGTAAGTTGACTGATATATATATATATATATATATCAATGTCCAACGAGAAAGGGGCTAACTAAAAATAAAGTCACCCTCACTAATAATGAGCTTCTCTTCAAAGTTGAGTCCACAAACAATGATTACCAAAATGAAAATGACTTAATGGCTTCAACAATTTGTGGTTTGGTCTGCGTAGATTATGATGGACACTTAAATATTTCATTGCCAATTCATAGCAACAAATTGTGTGGAGAATAAAAACTGCTTCCGCAATAAGGGCGGGCCATGTAATCACAATTCTGTTTCTTATTAAAAAAGAGGAAAAAAGCAAATTGCTTGAAGACTATATAGCAAGCATAAATTGAACAATATATCAACCCGGAACCGGAAACACGTCTTCAAAGATGCCAGTAAAACCTTCAGTTGCCTCAATGGCACTTTGGGCACTATTGCTCTCTAGCTGGGGATTATATTTCATGCAAATGTACATGTATGTATATAAAAGAGCATTAGTTGAGTTGATTTAAATACTAAACTAAATTTATAAACAGCACTCAAATTATTGAATTGGTTGCTTTGACAATCACGAAATAACAGTGGAGATTATCATGGCTTAACTTCAGCAAATCTTCAAATTCTGTATTGTTGTTACAACAAATGGAATGAGGCTAACTGGATCAGCAAAACTTATATTCCAAATTTAAAATCGGTCGCTTTTCTGGCCTCTGAGATCGACTTGTTCACTCAGGAAAATATACATATATATATTATATTTTTCAATGCATATACAGAAACATATTTCGCTTTTGAAGCCTACACAATTTACATGTGTTGAAGATCGTTGCCTGGTTCACCTCCAGCTCCCACCAGGTGTGCCAGGTTCAAGCACAAACAGCGCACAAAGTTGGAATTTAAAATTAGTTATGAAACCGCCCAAAACTCACGCCCAGCGGCTGTTGGCCTAAAATTAGTCTAGCAACATGCCCATATATCAATTTGATTTCAAATCAGGCACGGTTCGTGGTAGTTAAAGGCCTGTGGCAATTAATTATGTGCTGCTGACATGCCTTTGACATTGGCCAACATGGCTCGGTTACTGGGCTGCCACTCAATTGCCCGTCCCTCCCCTCCCCTCCCCACCCCAGGCTCATTGTTCGACTGGCATAGGACGGGAGGGAGAGGCACGCAAAACAATAATAAAAAATAAATAAAAAAAAAGTCGATGTGAACAATAACAAATGCGCTGCGAACAGCGCCACAGATTCGCAGTTAAAACATTTATTAGCTCGTAAACAGATTTGCGAGTGTGTTGCACAAATGGTTTTCAGGCGTAGCAAAAAGCGCCAAACTTGAAGGTGGGTCATGCCTCTGCCTATGCCTCAGCCTCTGCCACTGCCACTGCCACTGCCTCGACCAGTCCATTTTGCACACATGTGAATCTCTCTTTGTGGGTGTATAGGCATAGTTATAGGTGTACTCGGTGTATATCTAATGCAAACAATTGCTGTGTGTGGCACCTTATCTGCAATGCTTTGAGCTCATTCCCATGACCGGCCAGCAGGCCATGCGCCATCAACAAATATTTAGCCAGAAATGTGGAATGGCTAGCTACACTTATTGTTTGTGATTCTCGGTTCCCTGCTGATGAGTCAACTGTCGATATCTGCTATTCCTCCTCTTCCTGCTGCTGCCTGTTGCTGCCTGTTGCTGGAATAGCTGCTGCCTGTAGCTGCTGCTACTGTTCAGCTCAGCTAATTAAGTGAAACAAAATTAAATATTGCTTATGCCGCTCACACCATATTTTGTTGTTGTTGTTGTTGTTGTTGTTGTTGTTGTTGTTGTTGTTGATATTGTTGTTTATTCAATGCAGCCCCAGCAGCGACGACCTTTGACGACTGCTCCACTGGCGCACATGGCGTATGCGTAATTTGAATCTGTTTTGCACTCGCACTCACTCAAATCATGACATCATCATCATCATCATCATCATCATCATCACTTCATGAGTAATCACATCCACATCCATATCCACATCGGTTCGTGATCGAGTGCCTCGGTTTACGTGCGAGTGCGACTTAAGCAAACTGAAATTGTGATACCATAAAAATTGCCACAAAACGAACCTAAGTGAATATCTTTAGGGTGTGGTTCAACACAACTGCAATGCAACAGGCAACAGTCAACGCAAATCCGTTTCATATTATAGAAATATGACAAAGCTATTAATCGAATTAAAGTAAATACCATGAAAATAATAATGTTATAATTTGTTTACAGTTCAAAATAACAAGAACATCAAGTCTCCAATCTCAATTCGATATTAACTAGTTTAGTATGGATTCAGATTTTGTTATTATTGTTCCTAGTTTGTCAACGACTCAACTAGATAAGAGCAACCCCATTTGGCTTAAAGATCCATCAACAGCTCAATTGATAGTCATGATTCAAAAATAGTCAGTTAATTGAGCAAAATATTTGCACTTGGCATTCCAAATCATTCCAAGGCAGCAACGCATATTTGCTGATTATTCGTGTGGATTGTGAGCAGTGATCCAACTGACCCAATTGATCGAATTAAGGCATTGTGCCCATGAGCTCATCTCGTCTAAATGATAATCTGAACACAGACGGACGGTTGCATGCGTCATGTTGCACTATATCGCGAGAATGAAGACGCTATCAGTATTTGCTTGCTGAGCACAACACGATTTGTCATAATAAGCAATTACAGCGGAAAAGCTCATTCTGTATTTTGTTGAACAACTTTTGCTGAAGCGTTCAGCTGATTTTACAAAACAAACAAAACATGCTCCAGGCAAATTAAAATAATCACAAAAATAAATCTATAAACCGGATGGGGGAGTAAGTAAACAAACGAATCTGGATGACTATGACATCATGTGGAGTGAGCACATCATCTCGGTAAATTCGGCGGAAATCAAAACTAGTTGATTATTCTATGTTTCTTCTTTTTCTTTTTTTTTGGTTGTTCTGTTTTATTACTCTTCGTTGGCAGAACATGAGAAGCGGCGAACAGAACAGCAATTGTTCACATCATTGATGACATCATACCGGCCCGGGGATCACAAAAGACTAATTCCAACACGCACTTTAGAACTACGCAGTTACGACTGCTAATGCCATCAAAAGGAAACACAAAGCCACCACCAAAAAAAAAAAGAAGCAAAACAAAAAAAAAAACAAGAACAAAAAATACTTCCAAAAACAGAACTTCCAATGAAGTCATGACCAATAATGAAAACGAGTCGGGCCAATGGAAACCGGTTGCTTCAAGGCAACAACGAATCCAAGGGAAGAAATGATGCCGAAGATGTGAAGCCAAACAGAAGGAAAGGGAAATAAGGGCAAAAGGAGAAGGAAGTAGGAAGAGGTAGAGAGGTAGAGAAAGAAGGAAAACAGCAATAGAATAACACAAACACGAGCAGCGGAGTCTGCTACGAAGCAATAGTTTACAGTTTACAGCAACAATAAGGTACATCCAGCAAAACAGGAATCACAGCTAGATATGTATTTGTATATGTGTATATATTGTCACACACACACACAGAATAGAATATTTTTAGACAGTTGAGTTGAATGACTGAGTTTTGCTTACCAGCTCGAGGATCTTCAGCAGCAAACGATTATTAAACTCCATGGCGTTTCCTTTAGTGACGATTTAAAGTCGCTTTTCGCTCAGCTTCTTGGGCTTGATTTCCACTCACAACTTTCGTATACACGTCTTGTCCAAACGCACTGCGAAAACTGACTAAACCGAATCGACGCCAGCGCGCGCATTCAAAGCTCAGTCGACCAGGCAGCGACGGCGACGGCGACGGCGACGCCGACAGCGTGTGTAATTTTTAAAGAGTTGTTTTGTTTGCGGGCCTCTTTTTGATAAGTTAAATATGTTTTTCACTGGCTCCAGGTGAAGTGATTTAGTTGTTTATTATTTTTATTCTCTCCCAACTTGTACAGCTCAATAAATAATATTAATGGTCAGTTCTATAGTTTTGGCTTAATTACAAAATTAAGATTGATGGCTAATTGAGGAACGAAATAACAGGATTACAGATTAACAACTAAACGCATATTTTAATAAATGTAGCGAAAAATGTAAATGGTTTTTATTGGGTTAAATGTGCGGACGATTTCGGGTTTCATCCAATCTTTAATGGTGCATAAGCATTTCTCCTAAATCAACGCATTGTAGAACATTTAAAAACATGAAGTCCAAAAAGAGAAAATTTAATTAATAATTCAGCAGCAACGAAAAGCACGCTTGAAAGCGATTCGAATTGGAAGCATACTTTTGGGCAGAGCAATAAATCAAAAGCGAAACGCTGTTTGAGAATAGCTGAAATCTTAAGGCATATCTCCAGGATGAAAAGTAAAACATATTCTGGTGGCTGGTCTCAGGCCAAATCGATGCAGATCATGGTGTGCCCCAACCGCAAGGACCAATCCAATCAAGTATTATGGAGTCGTCTAAGAACCCAAACTAATTTCGCAGGCAAAAGATACACATTACAAGTTAGGAAATTTCTTGTTATCTCGCAGACACATTGAACAATTTTGATTACCTGTCGCCGGCCAAATAAAATGGATTTGGAAACGGCAAGAAAATAGCTCCATGCGCAAAATGTTCAGCTTTTACTCATTTTATATTAGCTGTTTGAAAGACTATCTTATATTTTATAGTTTTATTCGAGTCGACAGGCCAATAACCTTATACATATATTGCATCGACATACATGTTTTTCAGTGACGGTCTTATTGTGTTCCATTTATTTTGTATAGCTAAAACGTAATAAAAAAGAAAAACATGGCTTACATTATGATAAATTAATTGAAGTACTTATTTAGAGACATGCCAACGTGTTCCATCGCACGCTCTGCCTGAAAGATGGACACAAATTGTGGTTCCAGTGTGGCGATCGCACGACGGCTAAGAAGCGGAATGCTCTTGGGATCGCCATGATCCCGCTCAAATTTAATATATTCAATCCAAACGCTCGGCTCTCGCTTGCCAAAGAATGTGATCATGAACTCATAGCACATGCGCCATGCCTTAATTGTTGTCAAATCCTGCAATATTGGCAAAAGCCCAATAATAATGAGTTCAATCAAAAGTATTGAGCGTATAGCGGCGCCTAGCTCACCTTTGGTTTGGAGCTCTGTATCAGATTGACCATCTCGCGATGCAGCTTTAGGGACAAGGGTGGCTGTTGCGCCAATTTGGCATATTCTTCACGCGCTTTGGCCGGGGAATGCTCGTGCCACAAGTAGCTCAAGTAGTTGCAGCGCAGATTGACAAACTCTGGCCAGGTCTCCTTGCAGGCTTGCATATAAATGTCGTTCAGCTGTCGCTTTGCCAGCTGATCCCCACGTGCCCGATAATAGCCAATAACCATCTCCCAGAGCGGCCGGGCCTCGGCGCCCATAGTTCGCCGCACCTCGCTAAATAACTTCTGAATGCTCGCCTCACTATCGTTGCGAATCAGCGTGGCCAGCAGCAGCTCGTGCATGCGCAGCGAGTTATCATGCTGCAATGCCTCGGTCAGGATGCGAACACATGTCTCTGCACCGTCCTCACTGCTGCCCAGCATATTGCTGAGTGCGGCATAATGTCGAGCATGCATCAGCTTAGAGGCATGACCGTCTTGCAGTGCGTTGGCCAGGAACTGTTGAACGAACGTGCGCTCCGATTTGTAGTTCTTGCCAAGCGACATCATGACGTCCAGATACAAGCTCAACATCTCCTGTGTTTGCAGATGTTGCACGGCCACCTTGTAGATGGTCACGCACAGTTCAATGCAACGCTTTTTCGAGCGAGTCTGAAAAACTCGTTCCGTATCCGGACTCGACTTTTTCGCACTCGGCTTATCGCTATCAGCGTTGTCGAACTTCTCGGTCAGATCACCCAAATGGAAGCCACGCAGTTCACGCTTCGCCAAAGCATCCCACAGCGCTGGCTCGCGCGGAAACTTTGTCTGTAATTCATTGATGATGTTGTACTGAAGCTCTGCAGTTAGCTCGCTGTGATCTTCGCAGCTTTCGAGCAACTTAAGAAAGTAGTCCAAGTTCGTTATGTTTGCCAGGCTGTTGCGATAGACAGCCATGACACGCTCCATCTGTATTTGCTGCTCGGAGACGGTGTTCTCCCCCAAATTACGTTCGCTGTCCGCCTGGGCGGCCTCCTTCAGCTGTATTTCGAAGAAACAACTGTTCAAGGGCTCGGAGCACGCATGACGTTGTAGTCCACGCAGCAAAATATCCTGTACGCGAGCTATGTTGGCTCGATTGTACTCGTATATCCACAAAGCGGCATTGAGCCACACTTGTGGATCGTCACCATGATACTGCCGTGAGAGAGATACTTTCTTATTATAAACAATTCCTTCCGACTTGGGTCAGCTTCAAAACTTACCGACAGCATTTTCTCGTATATGCCGGCAACCTCTTGTGGCGCAGATTTCTTGCTAAACTTGATGTAATTGTCCCAGAGGCTCTTCTCATGCGCAAACTTCACCAGCATTTCTCTGTACATGCGAATAACCCGGGTACAAATCGAGGCTTTCAGGCCATTCAGTTTTAGGCCGCCCAGTTTCTCCTTTTCTGTGATTGCTTTGTACATTGTCTTCTCGTATAAAATGAATTCCAAATAGTCGCCCATCCTTATTTGACTTTTGGTTATATTTAGCAGCAAGCGTTCGCGCTTGCGTACACATTCTCTAAAAGTTGAATGCATTACATATTTAATGTATTTCCGAATTTATTAATTTGCATGTTAAATATTATTTACCTGATTTGATCTGGTGTAAAAACTTGGTATTGCTTCATTTGCTCATATTCCGGCAGCATGCGCTCCTGCATTTCCGCAATAAACTCACCCATTTTGAATACTACGTTTTTCCTCCGCCAATGAAATTAATTGTTTGTGTTTTTTTTCTATATTTCTTCGCATTTGCCGCACACGTTGTGCACATGCCGTTTAAAGTCAGCTGTTGCTATTATGTTGCTATCGATAACTTAGAGCAGCCCTGAGTCCAGTTGCAATACGATAATTGACTGTCAGCAGGATGGTCACCCAAAATACCAAACTCCTTGCAAACTGGTCACTTTTTTCAAATACAAAATTTTTGGTTACAGTAAATAAATAAACTTAGACAAAACACACAAACACAAACTGCAATGGCCGAATTCTCAGTCGAGCGAGTGGAGGACAAGCGAACGGTGAACGGTCGTACAGAATATTACCTAAAGTGGAAAGGATATCCACGCAGCGAAAACACTTGGGAGCCGGTCGAAAATCTGGATTGTCCCGATCTTATAGCAATGTTTGAAGAATCACTGAAGAACAATAAAAAGGAGACGAGAAAACGCTTATCCACATCAACGCCAGATTCAATAAGAAGTAAGCGAAAGTCTTTCATGGAGGACGAGCCCGACGAGCGCAAGAAGCTGATCGGCTTCGACCGGGGCCTGGAGCCATCGAAGATACTGGGTGCCACCGACTCATCGGGCTACCTGATGTTCCTCATGAAATGGAAGGGCAGTGATCATGCCGATCTAGTGCCAGCCAAGCTGGCCAACATCAAGTGCCCCAAAGTCGTTATACAATTCTACGAAGAGCGTCTCACATGGTACACTGGTAACGGCAATGGCAATGGTAATGGTAATGGCTCAGCCAGCGGCAGCTGCAGCGCGCACGTCGAGAGTGCCGCGGGCAGCATTGGTACTCCCGGCAGCACTGTCGAGGCCAGTCCCAGTGGCAGCATTAACGATGAGAATATTAAGCCGGACGCGAGTGCCGATATGGGAATTGTGGATACCGCTTAAATTCTTACATGGATTGCGCACACACACTCACGTAAACTTGTAAAACACACGGGCACAGACTCACTCACACAGGCACACACACAGACGCTAATGCATGCTCGCTTTTACATTTCTACAGACAACACTACTGACGGAATACACACAAACATTGAATACGTATACTTAAGTCTATATAAAAACATGCTCTATATATGGCGCCAAACCGAATCAGAAAAGGTTAATGGAGGCGTACATAAAATTATATGTAACTTAAATAAATATGATTCTTTAACTTATTATATACCCTTTTCACCAGCATAAACTGAAACGCGATCTGGCAACACTACGCACAATCGATATATTCGATAAGTGGTGCTGGCAAAGCCGCTAAAATAAGAAAAGCCAACAAATAAAAAATAGCCGTGCTATTGCAAATATTGTAAATTCGAAATCAATGAAATAAAATGGCTCAATCAGGCTCTATGAAGCTACTTGGTGCACGCAACATGAGTTGCATTGTGGAGCGCATGGAGTGGAACAACAAAATGGATCTCATTGCCTACGGCACCGAAAAAGGTGTGCAGACGTCGTTGGCATTTTTTGTTAGCAGCCTCGATTTATGTTCAAGTTTGTTGTTTATTTTGTAGGCGAGGTAATCATTCAGCGCCTCAACTGGCAGAAAATTGTCACATTTCCCACGCCAGGCGAGGATGTGCGCGTACGTTCCCTCAGCTGGCAAATGGATGAGACACTGCTGGCGGTCGGCTACAGTAATGGCAAGGTGGCGCTGCTGGATGCGGAAAGCGAGACTATAATATCGGGATTGATCTACGATGATGACATTAAGAAGGTCTTCTTTAGCAAGGCAATTAACTCAAAGGAGAAACTCGACAGCTACACATGCAACTCAAAGGACAAGCACAAACGATATTTACTAAAGCTGCCGCCGCTGACGAATATTGATCCGTGCCTGAAAACGCTCGATCAGAAGTCGTTTCCCAAAGGATCGCCCTGTTTCCTTGTGGTAATCATGCGCAGCGGTAAAGTGCATTTACTGTTGCTTGGCGCCCTGCAAGCGGGCAGCATCGATTTAACGCAACATATACTGCATCCCGAGGAGTTTGATGTGTACGATGTCCGTCTAAATGGTGACTTTAATGCCATTTATGCATTGCTGCGCGACGGACACCAGCTGAAGCTGTTGCACTTTCATAATCAAGTGCTGGAGGATTGTATATCGCCCATGCTGGAGCTGGCTTCCCACTGTGCCCACATACTGGAGACCAAAAAGTAAGTTGTCCTCAAATCCCAAAATCTATGAAATTGCTTCATATGTGCAACATCGATGTAGTTATATTAACGACACACAACAATGCCTTTTGGAGGCATGGGAGACAGTTCAACTGGAAATGGACAATAAGCTGACCAAGTATGCCAATTCACAGGCGTATGGCATGATTTCGGCTTATTTTCTGGAGCTGCATGTTTTCGGTTACGCCACCCTGGAGGTCGAGGAGTTTCTGTTCGAGTGAGTTAAGTGCCTACATTTAATATACAGTGCTCATGTGTGCTCCGCCGCTATGTTTTTTTTTTTTCATTTCTTTCCATCGATACGGCAGAGGATTAACAGAGAAGGGCTTCAAGAAGATCGCCAACTCGGTGGATCTAAGCCTCAAGAATCTGCAGGGATTAGTCTTCAAGCAACTAACTGGAGCAGCCGTTAACATGTTCTATTTTCTCAATACAATTGCTGGCTTTGGACGCATGTCGCATTTCTTTGAAGTAACTTAACCAAGAAGTTGATATGTTGAAGGATCAAGTAGAGCAACACATTGAAACATTTTTGAATTTGTTTGATTCTAGGCACTTATCTCTCCGGATGTGGCCAGCGAAGCAATGCGCGCCTGTGGCGCCTTCCTTCTCAAGGTGCACGAGCTGCAGCGCACCATTGATATTTTGGTGTCCAACATGAAGCTGTTTCACTCTTGGATGATATTCACCATACTGCGTCTGTCGCATCAAGAGATACCCGATGATATGATCTTTAGTGGCAAGGAGAATATTGCGCTGGCTGAATTCTTTTGCGCCATGGAACCAGACCTGCCCGATGCATGTGAAGCCGATGATGTTAGCCAAGAAGAAAGCTCTGCCACAAGGTCTGCAGCAACAGCAGAAGATGATGAATTGTCTGACGATGCTAGTGCCATTCCGATGGTGACAACGCGTACCAAATTCAATTTAGAGCGCGTCGGCCAGTATCTAGAGAATGCATATCTAACGCAATTGCAGTCGGTGGATCCTACACAGCTTTGGACGCGCCTCCTGGCGGAGAACGATTGTCTGGCGCAGTGCAGTCTGCTGGTGCCGCATGACAAGAAGCTATCGCTGATACAGCAGCGCGACAAGATGTTTAACGCCATCGACGCCGTATTCCACAAGCCCACGGAGAGCATCAGTGGCAGCTTCAAGTTAACCACGACAGTCATCTGCTACGATCTGCCGCAGTATATCGTCGAATCAGCGCTAGACGAGGAACACGAACTGAATTATGATTTTGTCAACTGCAGCTACCATGTGCATGAGGCCACCAAATGTGATATGCTTGCGGTGACTGTCAGGTGGCAGGAAGCGATGATTCTGGAATTCAGTCGCGCCGACGATTGTTTGCTCCGGTGCACGCGTGTTCATTTGCAGCCGGGCCCGTTTACGCCACAGTTGCACGAGAACTACTACAATCTGCGCATCGTTGATATTCAGTTCTACAACGAATCATCGATATCGATGCTGGCGCAGACATTGTTACCAACCCCTGGCGTTCGTCCGCACAGCTACTTTTTGCAGTTTGCGTTGAGCGCGACGCGGAATCAGAGCACACAGCATCAGATGGCGCCACTGGTTAAGCTTCCGGATGCGACAATGGCGCACAGCATTCACGATATTCCCGATGCAGTCACATTTAAAGGCTTGGACGGCGTCTGTGAAATGCTGGCCGTATCGGGCAGTCGCAAGGTGGCCACCGTTCTCTCTGACCGCCGTCGCAAAATGACCATATTTGAAATGGAGATAGAAGAGGAGGAGGACGATACGGAAATGTCACAGGCATCGTTCTTGGATATGAGCAAAGATTCTGTGCTAGCCACCGGTGCCAACGAATCGGACAAACTCGAGGCGTAGTATTACGCTAAATGATAAATGGATACGAGTCGTTGAAATCTCTTCAAATGAATGCACAATTGTGGGCCATTTCTAACATTTGTCTCTATTTCATTTTTCTTCTTTTGTTACTACTCTTTACTTAGCAAAGATATATATTATATGTATGTTATAATTAAAAAAATACATTTATATACAAAAGATAAAACAAGCGATCTAAACTAGATTTGATGCAATCAAATGTTACTCTCAATTTTGAGCCATGAAAATGTATAATCTTATCAATACCACACCCATTTGACACTCGATTTATGCTAAAGGAAAATATTATTTTTGAAATGAAAGAAAAACATCAATTAGAGTGAGAAACAACTAGTGTTCAATTGTTACCATTTTCTTGTCGGATCGAAAATACGTTTACTAAATTTAAGTTAGAAAAAATGCTCACTTGGTACCAGCACTATATATACACATATATATATATATATATATATATATATATATGCATAAGCTGAGCTATATTTTCTTAATTTGCATACGTGCAACTAATGCCTGTTTGGATATGAGTCACGATTGTTGGCCAAGTTTGAAATGGCCTTAGGCTTAGGGTAGGCGTAGCAAGCATCGGCTGCTAACGAAACTAACTGATTTCGTACTGATATGCATCATCGGAGTCATCATCACTGGACAGATCGCGTTTGCGTCGTCGTTGCTCACGTTTGCTCAGCTTTTTAGTTGGCACCAGGTCAGCAGCAGCAGGAGCAGGAACAGCTGTCGCTGTTGCCTCCTCTGGCTCGGGCGCCTCATCCTCTGGGAGAGCAGCCTCGTCAATGCTGGCTGGGTCTGCCTCTTCCTCCTCGGCCTTCTTCTGTGTCTTGACCAGTTCACACAAGTATTTGTAGCGCACCAGACACTCCTCCTTAGTCTTTTCAGGCACACTGTTGGCAATCTTTTGCCAACGATCCGCACCTCCGGCGGTCTTTCGATACTTCACAATTGCCGCCTCCAAAGCGCGCTGTTGCTCCTGAGTCCAGTTGGTCTCTGGTATAAGCATGCTCTTTTCATTAGCCATGGTCGTGCCTTTTTTCACCTTCTCCTTGCGCACCGCCTCTTGGGAGTCCTGGACAAGGTTCTCGGCGACGCTGTCCGTGTGGCCGGGTATGCGATAGCCATTCTCCTTCATTTTAGCCGCCATGAATGTCACCTCTTGCACGGTGCGATTCATGGACTCGGCTATGGTATTCCAACGGCTACCAGCACCACCAGGATATTTTTTCACTAGTCGTATGAGTTCGGTCAGGTCCTCATCTGTCCAAAAGCCTCCGCTAACGGTATTCTGCTAAATGAACATGAAAGCATTTGAGCAAAGATTACAGAATGTTGCCGGGCTCTTACTGGCCACCTACCTTTTGAGAAGCTGGACGTATTGCGTCGTCTTCGGTTAGCTCTCTCGCCTGTATCTGCGAATATCCGCGTAGTTCCTCCTCAGTTTTCTCCGGCGCCTTTGTATTCTGTTTGCGCTTGCGCAAATTCTCTTTGTGCTCCTTACGCAGACGTGTCTGCTCCTCAGCCTCGCGCTCCAGTTCTTCCTGGCGACGCGCCGCCTCAATTTCTCTGCAATTCAAATACGAAACGTAGTTTTTGTAAGCTGTAATCTGTCTATTGTCTGTCGTCGACCAATCATTGTTATAGGATGGTCGATACAAATTTTAGTTCTTTAGAATATCCTCAATGGAAGACCACATCGAGTTATTTTATCCTATGATTATTGGTACCCTGGTGAAGGAAACTCTTTACAATTGTTTTACTTACTGTCTGCGCTTCTCCAATGCTAGTTGCTTTAGCTCATTGGCTTTGGTGAATCCATTTTTTATGGTTTTGGGCAGATTCCATATGCCAAGTGGTATTTGAATTGGCAGCGTATTGAGCAGCGATGGAATTGGGATCTCGCTCAGAATAACGTCCATGTCAATGTTTTTGTTTCGCTTTTGAAGCTTTTTCAGCTTTGTGCCAAACACCTGTTCGGCCGTGTACTTCTTCTCTAGGTAGGCGGCCCATGCGAACAGATACTGGCCGACCGTGATGATTAGGAACAGGATGAAGGCGCCTTCGTAGAGGCCAATCTTACGCATGCGACGATAGTAGTAGAGAGCGGACTTCCAATTTGGCATGCCGTCGCGCAAGACCTTGTCGTATTTTTCCCGTTTGGAGGCGTCCTTGAGCACCTCGTAGATGGAGACGAGATTGCGAAACTGGATGTTGGCATCCTCGGACGGATTCTTGTCCGGATGCAGCACAATGGAGAGCGTGCGAAAGGCGCGCTTTATTTCATTATTCGTGGCATTCTGATTGATGCCCATAAACTCGTAAAAGTTTTTGTTGACCTCCTCAACGAGATCAAAAATCTCTAACTCCTCGGAGTGCCAAGCACTTGCCGAGCCGCATAACAGCAGGAGGCCAAGCAGTATTGCTGACAGTGACGTCCTTGCGTACAGCTCCATGACAAATTACAAAAATTAACTAAAACCGAAAAGCGGTGGACCCCTGCACACAGTCGCACTCACACGCACACGAACAGGCACATGAACAGGCACGCACACAGGTATTATTCAGGGGCACGCACTCACGACGAACTGTCAACGTCAAAAGTGGCAACGTCAGCAGTAAACAAAAACAATACACGCCAACGTTGCCACATTGGTCATTGCTAGAGCGGCCCACTCAGCTATTGTTTCAATTTTTGTGGAACGAAGAGATGGGCTTACTCTTAAATTTTGATTGAATTGTAATTTAATTTGACATACAAAGGCCTAAATATTATTTGATTGTTTTAATGCTTAGTTATTTACAAAATTCAAAATCAAAATAGAAGCTATCGATAAATGCAAATGCAAGTCTTCTGCGGGCTCAGCACAGGCCTGTTAAACGCTAGCGATATATCGCATAGCAAACATAGCTAATAGCAGCCACACAACCTAGCGCTATAGGATTTGCAAAAGACGAAAACAGTGAAAGCGGTTGCAAAAAAAGCAGGCGAACGGAGATAAGAAACAAACCACACAAAAGTCAACGCAAGCAGCAGCGGCACAGCGTCAACTCAGCGCTAGCCGCTGGGGCTGGTTTTAAATGGATTAAGCGTTGCTCACTTACAACCACAGATAATAATACACAGGGGGAAGCGAAGCGTAGCGCGGAACGGAACGGAACGGTGCGGAGCTGAGTCGAGTCGAGTCATGTCTTCGGCGGTCAACATACAGATCGTATCGATGCCGAACCTGGCCAAGATCGAGAGCTTTTTCAAGGATGTTAGCTATCGCGAGACAATCGAATACAGCGCCAATTTCAACACACGCCTCTGCATCGAGCGACGATTGCGACTGCCGTTCCTCGATCCGCAGACGGGCGTTGCACAGAATCACTCACAGCTGTTCATGGACAAGCGACAACGAATGCCTGGCTTTCGCCAGGGCCAAATCTACACTTATCCCGCGGCCCGTTGGCGCAAAAGTCGCCGCCAATACTTGTCCAAGATGTACGGGTGAGTAAATCGTTAGCCCACATATCAAAATGAGAAGAAACAAAATGAATGCAGCTTGAACTTTAATCTAAGGTGTACACACAACCGGTTTCCCGAGCGACCATTTCAGGCGCTGCGCAAGGAGCACGAGGCACTGGTGGCCAGTGGAATCAATATTGGTGGCACTGTTGCTAATAGCAGCGCAGCCACCGTCAGCATTGGCAGTACGAACAGCAGCAGCTCAACGCTTAGCCTCAGCATGTTAGCTGGTATGGGCGTGGGTGTGGGCTCGGGATCAAGCGCTGGAGGCGCATCGACACCAACGCCGGTAGCCGTGCTAAATACAATGCACAATGATACCACGCATGATTTTAATGGGGCGTTTAGCATGGAGGAGTCTTGTTCGCTGGGAGCTGCCGGAGGCGATACATCCGACAGCAAGGACAGTCAATTGCAATCACAACAACATCAGCAGCAGCATCAGCAATCGAAAGATGATCTGCCAAAGGAGTGGTTCTACGATGAAATGGATATGAATGATGTGGACTCGCTGGAGGAGCCCAAATCACCGGCAGACGATGAATACGACTATGATCCGCGATATGGTAATAAAAAGCGGCGCAAACGTCGGCCGGGCAAGCGTTCAACGATCCATGCCATCGGCGAAACCCCAAACACTGCCAGCAGTAGTAACGCGCGCCGACGAAGCGCCGTGTCGCGAATGCGCATCGGCACCACAGATGCGGCGCTGGACGCGTCACTGGATGCGATCGAGGCGGGCGAAATTGGTGGCACACCGACCACGAGTGGCAGTGGTGGTGGTCGCCGATCTCGCGGCGCTGGCACACGAGGTCGGCGACGTGCCAAGGGTGCCACATCGGGGACAACGACAACGGCGGGCGCCAGCGGCATGCCCAGCAATACATGTGATCCGCCCAGTCCGGGCCTCGTTAATGAGCCGCCATCGTTTGAGAGTGCCGCCGCTGCAGTTGGCGTTAACGTTGGCGTCGGTGTTGAGGATGGCAATGCGCATTTGCGCAATTATCGCAAGTATCTGTAACGCAAGGATCGGCACATATAGGTTGCATTTTGTTGTATGGACGATCGCCACCACCACCCCCTGACTACACCAACACCTACACCTACATACCCTACCTATCAATCTATATCAACATCTATGTATCTGTTCAGTGCATTCGTTTCTTTAACGGTGATTACTATATATTTTCAACATATGTAATTTAAACGTTAGTTTAAGGCTTAGTTTATTAGTTCCTTATGCGAGTCCAACACCCGACCGACCAGACCAGACCAGTCAACACCAGGACACATGCACATACAACCACCAAAACACAACCAAGCAGGCGTAGATAAATTTTTATTCAACTGGTAACTCTGTCGCCTATCTAATTGTACGTTCCCATAGCCAATTGATTATTGATATATATACGCAAATATGTATATATATATTTATATACAATACATAAAAGCAACTTTACCTAAACATTAAAAGAATGCGGCCAACTCCCTCGCAATCTCCAAATTGTTTTCGTTGCCGCCATATGCAATTTTTTTGATTTGTTTTTTTTTTTCTTTTATTTAATTTAATATATTTAGTTGAAATTTTTAAGTTCATTGGCTTAATGTATTCTTAGGCAGTGTGGTAGGGTTTAGGGTTTCAGTCCAGCGCAACAACAACAAACGATTTCGTAAACCAAAATTTTTTCTGTAGGAATAAAAGAGAGCTGAAATACAAAATATAAAAAAAAAAAAACAAAATAAATAATAAATAAATAAAAACTGTGTACATTTTGAAAATCAAAGACAAAAATTCTAATAAAAATTAAAAGAAACAAAGAGAAAAATATATTAAAAAAAAAACATAATTTTACGAACCTTTAGAAGGCTTTTATACACATTTAAAAATGATTTAGATTTGGACTATACATAACTTGTGCATATATACATACATATGTATGTGTACACTAACCACCAAACTTGGCTGAAGAAATAAAGCAATAAATTTGTATGAAAAAATAGATATTTATGTACATATATAAAACTCGCAATTATAAATCATTTTCAATCATATCATTTGTTTCAAATATGTATATACACTTTTTATACCCATGAATAGGGTATATAAGACTGTCTCTCTAACCCCATAAGTTTGTATGTATGTATTCCTGATCAGCATCAGTTGTCGAGTCGATATAGCCATGTCCGTACGTATGTGTGTGTGTATTATTAGTTTGATTATTATTAACGACGTAAACTGACTGATGCTGGATCAGATAAAGTGCGTCACGACGAGGTGCGCCCTGGACAGTTGGAGATGGGACGGGTTTGCAGAGAAGCATGGAGGTCCTCAACGGTATAAAGAACCGGACTTGTTGTAGTTAATGCCAGTTTATAATAAGTATATTCTTATTTTTCTGGGTGCCGTACTTGCCGTTCTTGTACTTTTTTGCGGATAGTTTATTGATACGGCTGAAACTTTGTTTAAAAGAATGCGCGCTAAAATTATTTCCATAGTAGAAGTGAATCGATATATCGATATTTATAATCAAAATTTAGTATAAAATTTATATTTATCGAATATACATATAAATTGACTATCGATAGCTAATTAAGCCAGATCAGAAAGCTTTTAACAACGATCATTTAGCATCTTAGTTATATTATTTTTTATTTTATTTGATTGGGGCAGAAGTGGAGATCGAGGCGTCTACATTATTCTTGATTTGGTTTAAGAAAACACACAAAATAATAGGAAATCTATAAAGTATGTAGTTAATACGTTATTTTTATTCAATGAATAATTGTGACAAACATGACTATAGTTTGCGATTGTGTTATAAAATAAAAGGCTTCCCTTCTATTTTTAAGCAGACTGCTGTACTTCGGTTGCATTAGCTGCTGGTGTGCGATTGGCTTCCTCGGGTTTCATCGCAGGGAACAAAAGCACCTCCTGCAACGGCAGACAGTAATATTGAATACAAAAAAAAGAGAACAAGTCCAATTATTTGGTCATTTGCAGTTGGATTACAAACCTTAATGTTATTGGAGTCAGTTAGGAACATGGTCAGTCGATCAATGCCCATTCCCCAGCCACCGGTGGGTGGCAAGCCGTATTCAAGAGCCGTGCAAAAGTTCTCATCCACCATTTGAGCCTCGTCATCGCCGGCGGCCTTGTCGTTAGCCTGCTGCTCGAAACGTTCGCGCTGCACGACAGGATCGTTCAGTTCCGTATATGCATTGCACACCTCTTTTTTGGCCACGAAGAGCTCGAAGCGCTCTGTTAGGCCAGGCATGCTGCGATGGTACTTGGCGAGTGGCGACATAATTTGCGGATGATCGCAAATAAAAGTGGGATTAATGCATGTTTCCTCGATAAAGTCCCCGACCAGCTTGTCCAGCAGACGGGCTGTGGTCCGTGGCGCCGGGCATTCCACCTGATGCTTGGCACACAGCTGGGAGAGAAACTCGTTCGTCTCCTGACTGTTAAAGGTGTCGGCCGAGGGGAACTTGACCTGCAGCTTCTCCTCGAGCGTTTTGATCATGGAAACGCGCTTAAATGGTGGCGTAAAGTCCAGTTCCTGTTCGATACCATCTGGTCCGTCCGGATGGTATTTGATTTTATATGAGCCATGTATAGCTTTAACCATGCCAGAAACCATTTGCTCAGTGAGCTCAATCACATCATGATAATCGGCATACGCCATGTAGAACTCGCATGTGGTGAACTCGGGATTGTGTGTCATATCGATGCCCTCATTGCGGAACTGACGTCCGATCTCGTAAACGCGATCCAAACCGCCAACAACGAGCATTTTATGATACAGCTCCGGTGCAATGCGCATAAAGAGATCCATTTTGAGTTCGTTGTGGTGCGTAACAAAAGGCTTGGCGGTGGCGCCGCCAGCAATCATATTCATCATTGGTGTCTCAATCTCGAGGAAGCCCAGACGATCCAGAAACTGGCGCACATATGAAATAATCTGTGCAAAAAGAAATGATTGAAAGTTCATTTAATAAATTTATATACATTGCCTAAATGTAAAGGCTGGTAAGCTCACCTTTGCGCGTATCTGGAAAGTTTCGCGAACTTTGTTATTGAGAATTAGGTCCAGATAACGCTGGCGATAGCGTGTCTCCTTGTCCTTGAGCCCGAAGTGCAGATGGGGCAGCATGTGCAGACAGGGCGAGAGCAGCTTGAGCTCAGTGGGCATAATTGAGAGTTCGCCCTTCTTGGTCTTGCCGGGATGGCCGTTGACGCCAATAATGTCGCCACGACGCAGCTTGGCCGTGTCCTGTTCGAAGGCCATCTCATTTTTGTATGACTTGGCACTGGCCATCACCTGGAGCTTGACACCCTCGCCGCGCAAATCGTAGAAAATGAGCTTGGCGCCCGATTCGCGTATGGCATGAATGCGTCCCGCTACGCTTAGATTGACCTGATCGAGCGTCTCACCATCCTTGAGCTCGGTATACTGGGCAATGAAGTTCTCCAGCGAGGTGCTCACATGGAATTTGTGTGGATACGGATGAGTTTCGGGCGATTGTTTCAGTTCAGCGACAGCAGCCGATCTCAGCTTAAAGTACTCATTTGGCGAGATCTCCTCCTCCTGCTCGGCAGCAGATTTCTTCTTCTGTCCCGTTTCTGACGCTGTTCCCACAGCAGCAGTTGCTAAGCGCGTTGTTTCCTTCTCAACTTTCTCCTTGGCTTTCTGCTCAGCCTTCAGACGGCGTTTCAGCTCACTGCAAGGCATAATGTGGACGTTAGACGTTTTCAATTTTTGCGAATTTTTTGTGGGTGGTGGTACCAACAGTTTCGTGTTTTTGCTTGGCGCCAGTTGCCTGGCTGTCACATGGTGTAATCTCGCAGTAATCGCTATTGGCAGTTGCAGTGATGACAAAAGCATCTGCTGACTAAGTGCGCCGCGTGCAATCATTTGACAGCCAAGTATCATTGTTTTTTATCTATGAGTTGTCTAGCGGCCGCTGGCTAACAACTAAGCAGTTCAACTTAACCTCACTGTTGGCGCCTGGATGGCCGATTCGCGGTGTTGGCATTATTATTCTCAATGTACGAAATGATTTCATTTACTTACTTCTTGGACAGTTCACCAGTTACAGTAGCCATGCCGTTTGGTGTCTAATGAGTTCCGGCTACGAGAGATACAAAAACAAAATGAATATAGATTTGCGAGTGCGCCACACACACTGCAAACGAATTAAAATGATAGTAGTATACAATAAATAACGATCTATCGATTGTTTTCGGTGTATTAAAACTATTTCAATACCCAATTAGCCAATCGATGCGTTGCCAGCCCGCCTGAAACACGTGTTGCGGCTGCAGCAGCTGCTTTAGAGAGCTTTTGTTTTGACATAGTCTGGCAGCACTATCAACTATAGTTTTGGCATCGTGAGCATAAGAGTCGTGAGCAGTAATCAAATCGTTCTTAGTTGCGTGATCGCAACTAAATGTTTCAAAAATTAGTCTGGTATACATTACAGTCCATGCATTCATGTCATAAAGTCCAGTACTATATTTAATATTTTCATTTTGATGACTTATTTAGATTTATTTGGAGAAATAACGCTGTATCTATTAAACTTTGTTCAAACATCCTAAATAGATATTCTATTCGTGACATCATCATTCACACGTGCACATCTCTAATCAGCAGGTGGAATTGTGCCGGGTTGCCTGAAAACTGAGTGTGCAAAAGACGAACACACAACTGAAACAAAAATAAATAAATACATAAGCAAAGGTTTTTCAACTTGTCCAACGACATAACAGACGAACTATTCAGATTGTTTATAACTAAAATCAAAAAAAAAAATAATCAAAAAATTCCTGTTCACAACTGAGCAAGCAGAAGCTCAATTATCGCTCATCATCATCAGACATGGTAACAGTTGGAATGCTAACATGCCTACTTAGCGGCAGCGGCGTGGGCAGCAGCGCTTTCATTCGAATGCTCACGCGCATCCCCAGCTCCAGACTCAGCCTCAATCTGAGTCCGCGTTGTCTCAGCATCCTGGGTTGCGGCAAATCAACATCGTCTTTCACATCCACCGCATCCACTACCAAATTGCCTTTAGCTGCCACATCAACGACAAGTATACTGTCGCCACTGCTGGTCACAAAGTATCGCAGTTATGCACGGTCTCAGCACCAAACCTACCACGCACAGTCCCAATGCCAACAAAACGGATATCAAGTCCTCGTCGACAGCCTCCGTCACTAGCACCAATGAGCTCTTTGGCGAGGCGGCGAACATGGGACTCTTTGCCAAGTTCAAGCACATGTATAAGCAATATTGGTACGTTCTCATACCGGTGCATGTGATAACATCGATTGGTTGGTTCGGCGGTTTTTATTATCTATCAAAGAGGTAAGTAACTGCTAACTGTTCCAATGATCATCAATGCTGCTGTTTAACTTTGCATACACATTTCTTTTCGCAGCGGTGTAGATGTGCCTGCCCTGCTGCAGTATATGCACCTGAGCGAGACCATTATTGAGAAGGTACAGGGCTCCGATATGGGTCACTATGCCATTGCCTATCTGTGCTATAAGGTGGCCACTCCAGTGCGCTACGCAGTCACATTGGGTAAGTGCAACACCAAAAGCGAATGGAATTATTACTATCACTAAGTTAATATATATGTGACGTTTTCAGGCGGCACCACTGTGTCTATAAAATATCTGGTGCAATGGGGCCATATCAAACCGATGCCCACAAAGAGTCAATTAATGAAAATGTATGAAGACACAAAGGCAACGCGTGCCAATGCCAAGAACAATACCCATAAGGATGAGAATGCCAAGAATCACAAATGATCGATGCTTACTGGGGCGTCTTCCAAAACCGCCGCCTGCTGTCGTTGTCTTCGTCGCCTGCCATGCGGCTAGTTGCCTAGTTGTATTTCGTTATTTGTTAAACTGTTGCACGTTGATCAAGTGCAAGTGTCGTCTCTGGAATTGACCTCTCGCCCAGGGCGCATCTGTATATATCAACCGGATTACTTATTCTAAGCGCAGCTGCCGCAGTTTTAAGAAAGATAAGAGCACCACATCGTTTGCGTGTATTAACAAATTTGCATTGTTTTTGTTAGTTACGAAATCGTTGACGCTGCTGTTGCCGCATGCCAGGGAGCAACGTACTCACAGCAATGTATACATAGACCAGCATACGAATTAACTAACACAGACACATACACCTATGCATATAGACCCAGAGTAAGACAGCCTCCGACAAGAAGTGTAGTATATTTTATAAATGTAATTTAAAAAGTTATCGAAAATGAAAAACTCGACTGGTATAAAACAATAAAATATTTGTCTTTTACTTTTTTTTTGATCAATTGCCCATTACCGAATTAATTGTTCCCACAAATAGTATGCAGCAAAAATCAGCTGGCAAACAGCTTTGTATCACCCACATAAGTAATATACATATATAGGTCCTTGTCTCCCAATCGGAATGGCGTGATTTTCGCACAACTAGTGTCCAAAAAGTTTAATATTTGCGATCGTCCATCGTTTGTTTTGTATGCAATAAATATTGATTAAATTATTTTTTCTTATTGAAGATTATTTCATGTAATCATAGACAAAGCTTTTTTTGGATAAATAATTTTGTTAGCTCTGAACAACTGACAGATATACAAATATATACAATAGTCGGAGGCACTTACGTATCACCAGAAGGTCGCAACCAGCTTTTCGTAAAGGGGGTAAAGGGGGTTATTAGCTATTATTTAAATAAAAATAAACTCAAATTTGATTCGATTTTGTTTTTGCATTTTATAGTTCGTTATCATTTTTTTGTTTTGTTTTTTTTTTATTATTATTTTTTGTTTGTAACGTTAGTAAAATATCCAACAATTATAATTGTAACTAATAGTTAAGCCAGAAAAAATATATGTAGTAGTAGTTGTTGTTGTTTCTTTTACAAATAAATAAATAATGTGTCTTGTTTTTTAGTTTTTATGCTCTGTGTAGAGTGCGTGTGAGAGTTTCTGTATTTTTTGTTTTACTTTTTTTTTTTAGATATAGTAGTAAGTTGTATGTAGGTGTTTTGCCGGTTTGTCGCTTGTTTTTTTTTTTCATTTTTTTATTGGAAACAAATTGCATTATGTACACATATTTTTAGTTCGGTTTTTGCTCCGTGTTGCTGTGTATAAGAGTGTATGTATTCGTGTCGTTCACATATCAATTAAATAAATACAATACAATAAATAAATAAATAAATAATTTATATAAATTAAATAGGCAACAAATTAGGTAGCAATAGCAAAATATCTATGTGCGCGGAAGGGTGTACGGGGTGGGAGAATTGTTACACGGAAACATTTCAACTAAAATACATAAATATGTATAAAACAATAATAAAAAAAAATAGTTATAATAATAATAATAATAATAATAATAATAATAATAATAATAATAAACAAGGTTCTCTGCACCGCCATATGAATGATATACATATGGTGGACATTAAGTAGATCGTACGTCTGTACGATATATATAACTTTGAGACTAGTTTGATATTCAATTGAATGTTAAGTTGAATTTAATTGAATGGGATTGGGTTGGATTGGATTGCCTGGTGACAAACGAGTTTCGAACAGAAGATTGAAAAGTTTTTTAAATGTTAAGGTTTTTGATTGATGTTGTTGGTGTTTTCGTGCTATTCTCATCATCCTAATTTATAATTAGCTGCTAGCATTTATCATAAGTAGGTTTTACAATGCAGCTTTAGTTAGTATCTTTTGTTTTTTGCACTTTTATTTTCCTTCTGATTTATTTATTTATTATTATAATTTTTTTTTGTCAGGTTTCATTCGGTTTTTGTTTGTTTTTAAACTATTCATTTGCTAAAAGCTAGTTTTGCTTGTTGTTTTCTGTGTCAGTGAGTGTGTTTATTTAGCTTATGGAAGTGCGCTACGAAACGCATCCATTTCCCCCTTATTTCTTATTATTATAATTTTTTTTTATTGATTTATCATTCGGCATTCACTGTTCCTTCTTATGATATACATTGCACACGTTATGGTAAATTTAATATTTGTTCAACTCGTTTCGCTTTACGATTCTGCACTTTTTCTTGTTTTTTTTTGCTATTATTATTATTTTAGTTTCTTTTTACACAACCACTTGACACGGCTTTTGGCAAACCAAAAATATTTAACTATAGCGAACATTGTGTACAGGTTTTATCGGCAAATTCGCTTGACTGTGCACACATACAGCAAATGTACTATACTTAACTTTATTATTATATGTGTTTCAATGAGGACGGGCCAAAATCTCGTTAATTACACCACAATAACTAATTAAACATTTGTCAGACATATAGTGTCGACAGAATTTTATACAAATTACAATTTTGGTTGCGTTGCAGTTGTTTTGTTTGGTTTTGTGTACTTAGCAGTTAGTTTTTGCTTGTTCTGTTTCTCTTTCTGATCTTGATGTATTGTTTTTTTTTTGATGGTTTGTTCACTTTGGATTACCAAAAGCGGTGTTGCACAAATGTTATAATAACTTTTCTACAGTGTTCGCCATTGTTTCAGTTGTTCTTGTTGTCGCTGTTTCTCATCTTGCCTCTATTTTTTTTTGTTGTTGTTGCTTTTGGTGTTGTGTTAATGCTCATTGAGTTGTTCGCTAACAGGTTGTTGTGAGAACAGTTAGCCTTACGCTCGTTCGTAGAATAAAATATAGGCACTGGATGAAACGAGACAGTTTTCAGGTATAGAATCGCTGACGCTGCAAAATAATAATATATAACAAAGCATTAGAATACAATTAAGGAATGATTTCAGATGTGATGTGTGACATCAAGTACCTGTTGTCATTAAACTCATGCCACTTGTGTGAGACTGGATGCTTACAAATTGCCACATAATGACCACCAGCCGTTGAGCCTGAAAACCAAAGAGAAAGAGAGAGAGAGAGAGAGAAAGAGAGAGAGAGAGAGTTAGAGTTGAGCTAATGATGCATTGAGTCAAAAAGATTGAACTTACCCATATGATTGGAGATCGCATAGAGCGAATAATGCACATTCGAATTTGCGTTGGCGCCATATGAGGCCATGTTAAGCTCACGATCCGCTGTGGGAAACTCAACAATATTCGATAGCTTACTCCAGCGCGTCTCTGAGAAGCGTTTGAGATCTGAACAATTGAGTTAAATATATATATATATATATATTTACTTATCACAATAGAGTATTAGAGCATTAGAGCATGATGTACTTACGTATCACCAAGTATTTGGGGAAACGCTGTATTGTGAAGCTTTTGGTGCATTTTCGGCGTGTCTTGCATTTGGAGCACGTGGGCATCTCGTCACCATCGAGCACCTCTTCGCGTATGAATAGATCTAAGCACGACTCCAATTTGCATCGCGATGACGAAGGTAGTGGCACGCTCAAGTCCCAGAAGGGGTCAAAGGTTACGCTGGTATTGCCACACGTTGTGCACTTCAGTGTGCTCTTCAACTGGCCAACAAACAGGTCGCGTATCAGAGAGTTCTCATGACGTGCATACCACTCCCAAGTCAGATCGGCCTTCTTATTGTCACTACAATGATAAAGATATTTTTGGTTTTTTGTATTTATTCCTTTTAGATTAAAGATCAATTACTAAATTGGCATTGTCGCTAACCTGAGATTATCATCAATGTTAAGCGTTTCACCTTTGACGCCCGTATTAAGCGCCGAGTGCAACGAGTCAAGGAAGAAGCGTAGAAATTCTTGGGCATCCTGTTGATTGTAGTCGTTGTACATACGATGCTTTAACGAAAAGGCGCGCTTCAGTTCCATCGGCGTCACGCTGTGCACATTCGTCGTCCACATTTCCTGTATAAGCTTGGCAAATTCTGTAAGTGATAAAAGATTAATTTCACAATATCAATTGTGGGTGAACTACGACTTTCCATGTAGTATCTGCTGATCCTTGGAGGTCGCCGAGCGCGGGCTGGCATTATGTCCACGGAGGAAGCGCGTCAGTTCAGTCGTGTGACTCAGGCATTGGATAACCGAGTTCATGAAGCAAGTGTTTCCAATATTTCTTAGACCGCATAGACCTGTGGGTATATATTCAAATTCATATATTATTAAATCACAATTAAGTTATTATAGCTATCTGGGCATGGCCCAAATGGCACTCCCCAATTCGGATGTGTTACGGAATGCATTTTGACTCATCCACATTTTGAAGTCTTATTGACCGTCTATGTATGGTAAGAAATTCAACTAAAAATTGGTAGACCAGATAATATGTGCTACTAACTTATCCTACATAGAGAACTATGTGCCGAATATGCATAGTCTACTTGTGAACTTTAAAGGAAGTTATTATTTTATAAATGAATACTGTGTTGTGGCAAATTTATTGTTTCATTTCTTCGAATATATTTGAAGAGCAATTTTTCATATTGAAAAATTGTTGTAGAGTTCGTTCCCGTCCTCCTTCGTATTCATATTCATATCGAATTTAAAGCGGCATACAAGATGTTCAGTCAAAGTTAGTTAGTTGTATTTAAGCTGAATGGAAGTCCTAACCGAAAATTGATACCAAGTGGATAGTGGATTTTCTTTGTTATGCTTACCCTCGAACTTCTCGTCACGATTGCTCTTGTAGCCATCGTCGATGCTGTTATGCTTATTGCTCAGCGACGATGTGCCAATGGAAGAGGATGTGGTGTTGGTGCTGCTGCGTCCGCTGTCCCTTTCCCAATAGCGGCTGGACGTTGGCGAGACAGGTGGTAGCACGGAGCGAGCGCTACTTGTGGCATTCCGTGCCGTCTGCACCAAATAAAGTTTCGATTTATCGACATACATACAAAGAACCAATTAAATTTGCAAATGCAAATGCCGATGACAATGCAAATGCAAATGACAAATTTAAAGTTTTAGTATTCAAAAGCAGCGAGCAATCAATTGTTAGAAATGGATGCATTTATTGAAATTGTTTAATTGGGTGATTGGTTGGCATTGATATTGCTATGCGAGTGTCAGTGTCAGTGTGAGTGGCGTGTGGCGTGTGTTAGTGTCAGTAAGAGCTTATGGCAGGTAAAACAACAAAACATAACCAAAATAAAACGCAGCAACATAAACACATAAGCCATCCATACAAATTGTGCAAGTGCTGGTGAGTTGGGGGAGCGATGCGATGGGTTGACAAACAAAACGATAGCAAGATAAATAGAAAACGCAACGGAAATTAATTCGATTAACGGCTACCGTTATCGATAACGCGTGGCAAAACGAGGCAAACCAAAAACCCAATGAGAAAAATAACTACCTACACAATATACGTAATATTCATAATAATAATAATCGTAATGATAATAATAATAATAAGTAAATACTACAACTTAAATAAAATACACATACACACACACATATGAAATTCTTTTGTTTTTTTTTTTTGTTTTTTTGTGGGCAACTAAAAACGGGACAAGTTTTGTGGTTTGGTGCTTTGTTGGTGATGAGCAATTGGCTATGGAGCTACTTAAAGAAAGAGCTGTTTTTGCTGCTGTTGCTGTTTACAAGTTGAACAAACTATAAACTGAAACGCACAATGAGAGAGTGAGTAAGAGATAGACATATATATATAAATATATATATAGAGAGAGAGAGAAAGAGAAAGAAAAAGAGAGAGAGTGGGCAAAGAGCGTAATATGAGCGCCCCGAGGAAAGTTTTGGGCGCCACTTACGCTATCGTTGGCTGTTGCGCTGTTGACTGCCACGGCGGAGGCGGAGTAGAAGGTGGTGGTGGTAGTGGTAGTGATAGTGGTAGTGGTGGTAGTGGTGGTATTGGTGGTTGTGGTGGTGGTTGTGTTGGATATTGAGGAATAGGCGCCCGCCGCAACAACCGACGCATCGTTGTACTGTTGATGATGATGATGATGATTTACCTTATGGCTGCTGGAGGATGATGATGCACTTGCACTTGCACTTGCGCTTGCAGTTGCACCATCCAAATTTTGGCCACCGCTGCTACTGCTGCTGTTGGTCGTCGCCTTGGCCAGCAGGCCATGTGCAATGCGATTTGCCGTTTTGCTAATGGGCGCCGCAGCCACCGTGTTGCTGCTGCTGTTGTTTGTTGTGTTTTGGCTACTGCTGCCAGTAGTGCGATAAGCGGCACGAGTCAACGAGCTGCTATAGCCGGCCGCAATGCGTGCGTTTTCCATATCGCTGCAGTATCGTTGCTGAAGATTACTGCTGCTGCCGCCGGCGGAGGATGTTGTCGCGGCGCCAGCTGCTGCTGTTGCTGCACCAGTTTTTGCTGTTGTTGTCGCGGCTGCAACTGTTGCCGATGCTGTCGATGTCGCTGCTGTTGCTGATGTGGCATTATTGCGCACTGGCTGCGCTGGTTGTCGCTTTTGTTCGCTGAGATTGTTGAATTTCTCAATGGATGCCTTAATACTGAGCGAATCGATGCCATAACGACGCGCATTGCTGGCGCCAATGCCACTGCCACTGCCGCCGCTCACCCTGTCCCGTTCCCGTTCACGATCTCGATCCCGATCGCGTTGCTCCTTGGGCCGCTGTTCGCCATTTGTGTGCTTGTAGTTGTTGAACTTCTCATAGCTGGCCGCAAAATTTGAATTGGAAAAGGAGACAATTGTGGACTTGGGACGCACCGAACGTTGACCAATTGGTTTGTCCCCGCTGCTTCCGGCCAACTGCTGCTGGTTGCGGAGCTGCAATGGCGGCGTTATCGGCTTAAAGTAACAAGTGTTGCCCACCATTTGCTTGGATGTTGCAGCGCCAGTTGCCGTCGCTGTTGCAGTTGCTGGCGCTGATCCAGATGCTGTTCCTGCTCCAGATGCTGTGCTTGGTGGCATCTCGTCGCTATCAATATAGCTAATGTCATCATGTTGCTGTTGCTGTTGCTGTTGTCGCTGCATGCTGTTGTTATTGTTGCTGCTGCCGTTGGTGCAGCTATTGTTGTTGTTATTGTTGTTGATGCCGTTGCTGGCGCTGTGACTATTCATGGTGCTGCCGTGATTGTTGTTGCAAGGCAGCACCAGCGGCTTCAGCTTGCCAGCAACAAGACGTCCCGATGATGATGCCGCTGCTGTTGTTGTTGCTGTTGCAGCTGCTGTTGTTGCTGCTGCTGGTGCTGCTGCTGCTGCTGTCGCAGCTGTTGCTGACTCTGCGACAATTGTTGCCTTTAAATGTTGGTGAGTCGTTTTGCTATGGCTAAACTTGATATCGATCCTGTGGACGGTTGTGTTGTTGCCAGCTATTGTTGTTGTTGTTGTACGACTTGTGTTGTTGCTACTGTTGCTACTGTTGCCGGCCGCTTGATTGCCATTGAGTGTCGTCGTCGGGCGACGCATGTCATTCAATGGAATGCCGCTGCCGCTAATGACATGCGCTGGCGGCGCAGCTGCAGTTGCCGTTAGTTTGTTGCTGTGGTGGTTGCTATTGCTGCTGTTGTTGTTGTTGTCGCCAGTTTTGTTGCGCTTGTGCGTTTTGGCAGCCTGCGTCGCTTTCAGCGTCACCTGGGCATGCGCCAGCTCGCACTCGGCCTTGAGAAAGCTGGGATCCTTGTAGGTGGACACCAGGAAGTAGCGCTGATTGGCCGCACGCACAGGATTAACGGTGACACCACCACCAGCTGTGGAAACTGAATTATGTGCAGCTGCACGCCCACCACCACCGCCGCCAGCACCGCCGCTTGGTCCGTTTTTGTAAGCAGTCGCTTGCTTGTGCACAGAAGTTGGTGCGCCACAGCTGTTGCTGTTGTTGCCACCACAGCCGCTGCCGCCACCGACGCCGCCGCTGGATTTCAATATTTTGGCGTGTCGCGACGCCGTCGTTTGTTGATGCTGTTGCAGTTGCTGTTGCTGGTGCTGGTGTTGATGTTGTGTTTGACTATTGATGATGCCTCTTTGCTGTTGGCTGTCTGTTGTTGCTGGAGCAATTTTTGCTTCGCGCTGATGTTTTGACGCAGGAATCTTATGGAATCCTCTGGTTTTCTTAACTTCTAACATCCTTCAACAGCTCCTTGACCAATTTTGGCTGCTGCTCCTGCTGCTGTTCTCTTTTTTTTTGTACTTAGATGTCTTACTAAGTTTGTCGCTCGATATATATTAATTTGCTATTATTTATATATATACATATATATATATGCCGTTTCGTGTGATTATTCAATTTTGTTTTATATCGAATTTCAAAAGTCGTGTGATCTTACCAAAAATACATGCTCTGAAAACTATGTTACACACACACATTTGGACTGTTTGATTATATGTATATATAAACTACTGCTTTAAACTAAAATTTGCAAACATAGATATACATATATACATATATATATATGTATACATATATGTATACATATATATATGTATATATGCATATGTAGATGCTTTGAACTTTGTTTGGATCGCCTGCCTAAATCATCATCATATCGATTCCGTTCACTGTTCCACAATTACAAATTACATTTGCAATTTCGAGTTGCGTTTATCGATAATTTAATTTAATATATATATATACGTATATATGTATATATATATAATATATATTGGGTTTTTGGTTTCGATTGCTCAAGGGAGAATAGTTTTTGGTTATGGTTTTTGCCTTCGTTAGGTGTTTCAAGTTACTTGGTCATAAGCAAGTTAATAATCAAGTGAGTTAGTTAGTTTAAAAGGGACGCGATCTGCAAGAGTTTAGCTAAAAATATATAGAAATACATATATGTATAAGGATGTAAATCGATTAATTGAAGAATGAGTGTAACGGTTTAGCCACAAAACGTATAGCAAAGAAAGCCAGATTGAATAAAGTAAAAACACAATAGAACAAAACAAAACAGAAGAGAAGAGAACAAAACGGAAGAGAACACAGAGCAAGACAAATCAACAGTATGGAATGCAAAATGATATTGATTGTATATATATGTATGTACATATGCATATACATATACATATACATATATACATACATATGTAAGCGCAATGTAGCTAAGAACGACCTAATGCAATGTGGGATAACCGATGATGATGAAAGGTTTTTATGTGGGGAGGGGCAGTGGGCAGGTAGCATGGTAAGGGAGGAGGGATAGTGGGGGGCAACAGCAAGGCAAAAGCAACAATGCAATTATTCACCCATACGCAAAATTTTCAAACACACTGTAGTTTTCATATGCTTATCGATAAGTTATCGCTTGACAGCAGCTCGTCGCGATTGTGGCAACCCTGGCATGCGATTAGTATTCTGAGATTTTTTTTTTTGGTAAATTATTGAATGGACTGTGAGTTGCTTTGGATATCCTCGCTTATTTTGATTTCAGCTCGTTTACCTTGCTGCGCGCCACTGCGCTCTCTGCCAGCGTCAACGTTGCCGTGGCATTAACATCCCCATCGCCATCGCCATGGCCATCAGCATCAATGTCGCCATTGATATCGCCATTGGGCCTGCTGCTGGCGGGCGTCACATGATTTAAAGCTGCCGCCGTTGCATCATCTGTGGTGTCCGTAGTTGTTGCTGTGGGTGTCAGGCTACTGCTGCTGCTGCTATCGTATATGGCATTACGTTTGGGCGACGACGATAGCAACGAGAGTCCATTGAGCTTCACGTCCAGCCCATTGCTGCTCGCGTCTGTCGCATGACCATTGGTCGTTGGTGCTGTTGTTGTTGTTGGTGTCGCATCCTGTGCCGCAGTGCGTCGTGTTCGATTGCTGCGCAACGTGAAAGTGGCCGTTGGTACATCGCCACTGCTGTTGCTGCCGCTGAGCGAGAATCTGCCGGAGCCACTGCGCTGCCTCAGATGCGATGATGACGTTTCGCTGGCACCTATTGCCGCATCGCCACCGGCATCGCTGCTGCTGCTATATAGTCGACTGTAGCGGCTGTTCCGCGGCCTGTCCAATGTAACGGTGCAGGTGGTGCTGTTGTCATTGCTGTTGTTGCTGCGGCTAAGGTGGCTGTTGCTGTTGCGGCTATCGGTGTCGGCTTCATTGACCGCCGATCTGGAACGTGACAGTTCACAGTTGGGTTTATAGTTGGCCGGACTGTACTTTTCGTACATGTCCAGTGCGGATGTGGCAACTAAACGTGCGAGGGATGATGATGAGCATGAGCTGGACAAACGTTTTGAGCTGCTGCCGTTGCTGCTGTTAGCTGTGGCATCAACATAATCATTGCCATTAGCACCGCTTGGTGGCAGCTTTTTTGCAGCAGCAGCATCTCTGCGATGCGATGTGGCATAATCGTCTTTCTTTGTTGATGTTGATATTGATGAGGTTGTTGTTGTTGTTGTTCCCGATGTGGTTGCATCGCCATTCGATGTTGTGCCCTTTGCTCTACGCGGCAACTGAGAGTGTTTTGTTGTCGAATGGTGTTTTTCGTGTCGTGGTTGTTGGTTGAAACATTTATACAGATGTGGGACGTTTGAATGCGATTTTGGTTGTTGGTTTGTGATTTAACAGTAACGTTTAACAGTAACGGTTAACAGCAACGGTTAACAGTAACGGTTAACGGCAACGGTACCGATAACGGTCAACAATTAACGTTTATTTTCACATTTCATGACGGACATCAACACAAACCAAAATTGAAATTAAACAATAAACAATAAACAAAAAAAAAAAACGAAAAAATGTAATAAACACCAAAAATGAGTTGATTGCAAAAAAATAGGAGAGAAAATATACCAACAAAAACAATTACAAAAACCAAAAAAAAAAACTTGAGCCTCAACACATTTTGTGATCGCTTGAATATTAGAACGATTTGCTCTCACGGTTAATTTGCATTTTTAAAATTAGTTTTTCTAATATAAAGGAACAGAGTCCGAGCGACCACTACCCTATTTTTAAAAGAAGACTAAAAATAATCCTATATAAGAGCCAATATTTTCAGAATGCATGGGAAAATTGTTTGTAATGGGTGGAGGAGGAACTAACGGACATATTAAGTGGCACTCGCTACAGTGATTTTGTGGAATCTTGTCTCTTTTCTATAATCATTATAGGTATACAAGTGCAGAGGGATAGATCATTATGATCGTAATGTAATGTAATGTACCACAAATGACTTGCACAAATCGAATGCCCATTAAAATTAGGAACGTCAGACACGGTCGAAGAATTATAATCGATGTCGATAGATCATGCGCTATATTAATCAGTTGATGGAACTCTCTGTAGTCTTATTGAAATGTTTGTTTGCATGTTTAGGCGAATATACATATTTTATATATGATATTAATACAGATACAATATGTATTGTATAAAACAGAAAAAAGGAACACAGTCATACGCACTGACTAACAATGTATCATCACTTTAAACATACTGCGAATTTTTAATTCTCATGCCGCCGACGACGATGCCAACAGCAAAACTTGTATACATACATATGTATGTACAGATGGATGTATGTACATATGTATATAGGTATGTAGATAGATAGCACAAGGGCGTCGAGTCACATTAGTTGTTGTTGTTGTTGTTGCTGTGATCACAGTTGTTGTTGTTGTTGTTTTCATTGCTGTTGCTGTTGTTGTTGCTGCTGGCTGCCATTGGAGCGGTGCCAACAAGTGGTTCGGCTTGGCGAAAACATTCAATTGCCGTCTCATGGTGCATCCATCGCTTGCTCGCCTGCTTGGTTTGTGTGTCGAGTGTGGGTTGGGTCTATGTTTGTGGTCATGACGCATCCCCCGCCTTATCGCTGCTTTCAGCAACAGCAAAAACAACAACAGACAAATATGTGTATGTGTGTGTGTATGCATATGACACACACAATGTGGAAATGGACAACAACAACAACAAGCAGCAACCAGAACAACCACCAAGCAAGAACCAAATCAAAAGTTAGCAAACTAAAAATGCAACTTCAAAATGCCGCTAACTGTCAAACAAACAAGTGCCAGCAACAAACGGTAAATACTGTGGGGTGTGTGTGTGTGTGCGGGGGGAGGGAGTTTTCTTGCATGCTTATAAGCAGAGCCAACCAAAATGGGCGTGCCTGTGTGAGCATACACACTCACACACACATACACACAACATATGCATGAATATGTACATCATCATCATCGCATGTGTATATGTAAATCGGCATGAGAATGTGAAGGGTGTGGACGGATGGTGGGTGGTGGGCGGTGGTTGGATTACAACCCCAACAAGGTAAATAAGTGTATATCATCGGCTACTTGTGACTTTTGGACAATGCACAACATGAAATGCGTAGCCAGAGCTGATTAAAAATAGTTTTATATTTATGCTAAAGATACAAAGACACACACACACATACATACATACATATATATATATATGTATATGTATATATATATATATTTATATATATACATTTGAGCACACGCACTGTCAAATATATAGACGAAGAACACATACATATGTGCATAGATATGTCTATAGGGTCTGTTCGGTATTTCGAACACTTTGATTCATAATGCATAACAAGTTTAGTATCATTTTTATCTTCTTCTTTAGCCGAGTTTCAAATTTTTTCGATTAACCCGAACCTTTTGCGAAATACATACTACATATTTACATATGTATGTAGAAATGTGCCAGGTACTTAAGCGATATGTTTCTACATGCACATAGAAATGACAAGACCGAATTTCTGATAATGTTGTTGGTGTTCCAATTCTGTCGATGGCTCTAGAGACTCATCAAATGATTCAGTGTGCGTGTAACATGTGTACGTGTAACATGTGTGTGTGTTCGGTGTGTGTGTGTGTGTGTTTGGTGTGTGTGTGCGTGTGTTTATGGGTGTTTCGTGCTATGTTCCAAGCCCGAACAAGTTCAAGTTCAAAAGTTTTGTTTCGAGATATATAGAATACTATATGCATATATAGAGCTCTACAGCCACCAATTGAATATAATTTAAATATAAATACATTATTTAAATTATGTAGATATATATATGTATGCATGAACACAACAAATTAAACGGGGGCAAAACGATTGAAAGAATAGAAAGGAGAGGTGTATGGGTTGGGTTGGGTTCAGTTGGGCTGAGTTGGGAAAGGTTTGCTGTAGGTGTGTGGCTAAAGCAAAATTATTATTTGTTAACACTCACTCCGCATCGGCCGTACGAAATTGTATCATAGTTAGAGCCGCTCAAATACGATGAACTATTCCGATATCCAGAGCCAAGAACAGAGCCGGAACCGCCGCTCAGATACGATGAGGAGCCAATGCTATTGCGCTGTGTGCTGACCCGCGGCGTATACGAGAACGGGGAATAGGAGCTGGGGTAATAGCCGCTCGCGCTGCTGCTGCTGTGATGATTGTATGCAGATGATGATGACGATCCAGCTGCCGATGTGCCCGTGCCGCCAGCCGATGTCGGCAGCAATTTGGATAGACTGCCGCCGCGATGATCGTAATACGAGCTGGAGTAACGCGAGTAGCCGTTGCTTGTGGCGCCGACGCCGCTGCTGCTGTTGCCGCTGCTGGTGCCGGTCGAGCTACCAGCGCCGGTGGTCGACGTTGTGCCGTAAAGACTGCCACTGCCCGCTGCTGACGTTGACGATCTACGCGGCGAAATCACACGCATATTAGTGCCAGCCGCGTTCTACCGCTTCAATCGGACCAGTTTGCCGTTTTGCTCTCAATTGACTCGATATTGATATTGTTGTTGTTGTTGCTATTGTAATTGTTGCTTCTGTTGTTGTTGCTATTGTAATTGTTGCTTCTGTTGTTGTTGCTATTGTAATTGTTGCTTCTGTTGTTGTTGTTGTTCTTCTTCTTCTTGTTCTTCTCCTTCCTCAGCTTCTCGATCGACAAAGCGTCCTGTTAACCGCTCGCTTTCTCGTCTGTCTGTCTGTTTGTTCTATTCTGTTCAGTTCTGCTGCTGCTGCTTCTTCTGCGCTCTTTAATGTTATTGTTGCTCTGGTTATTATTGCTGCAATGGCGAGAGCGAGAGAGTGAAAGTGAATGCGTGAGTGAGAGTGACTTTCAAAATGGCCGCGCCGCAATTGCACTCAGCACTCAGCACTCAGTACTCAGTACTCACCTTGACTTGCAGTAGTAGTAGTTGTTGCTATTTATATATATATATATACATATATATATATTTATCTTCTGCTTATTTACATAGTTAATAATTGTAGTTTTGTTACGGTTGGGTTTGTGTTGTTGCTTAAGCTAGCTACTTTTAAGACCCGTTACTGTTGCAATGGAGAATAGGCAAACTGTAATCAGAGAATAGATGACCTTCGATTAGTTTTACAATAAGAGAGAGCGAGTGAAGGAGAGACTGAGAAATATACAAATGCATATAAGTTACATGTGTACATAATAAACAGTTACCGTTTATTACTACTTTCATAAACTTTACTAAATTACTAAATAACAAACGACAGAATTCAAAATTCATAAACTGCCGCTGCAACTCGCCACAATAACAAGAGCTCAATGAAACTGCCGCCGGTGGATGTGCGAGTGAGAGGGGCAGCTATGCGGTAACAGTGAAGTTGCTTATGCTTGTGTGTGTGCGTGTGTGGGTATATAAGACGCCGCCAGGCTGTCTACGGCCCTATACGGCGCGCAATGTCATTGTAACCGAGGAAACCGTTGCTTCTGTTTCCACGTGTATGTGTGTGTGCTGCCCAGGAAGGGGATGCGGGGCACAAACTCTCTCATAAACACACACATACACACACAAGCACGTAAACAAACAGACAGACACATGGTCACACTATCATATCGATCTCCCGTTCATAAATACTACAGCTACAGCTACAAGCATAAACAGCACACACACACACACACACAGAAACAGAGACACAGACACAGACAACTCATTCAGATTTACACATTCCAATGCGCCTATGTGAAGCAACGATGCCGAAAATCACATCAAAAATCTAAATAATTATAATAAAAGCACAGCACAAAAAAGCAAAAAAAAAAAAAAATACGGCGAATCTATTTATAAAAGCGCTTAAGAGCACACACACAGCTGGCTGGCGCTGGCGGTCGCCACGTTCCCGTTGCTTGAGGGGGTGGTGCGGTGGTGGCGGCAGTAGTAAAACTGCGCTGCTGTGCCTGGCCTATAAACGCCATGAGTGCAAATGAGATAGCAATATTGATATTGGCGACAGCGACTCACTAACACAAACACATTCACGCACGCACACAGACAAAAAGACGACGAACACAATCACATAGATTCATATGTATGTACATACATACATATACGCGGCCAAGCAAGCAACGTACGAATTACGCAAAGTGAAATATCTTTCTCAAAAATGGAAAGTGGAAAAAGTGACGACTGATTGTCAATTTTGCTTTAGAACGCGAAAAATTTAATATAGGGGGCTTAAGGGGTAATGTTGCGCCTTTAAGGCAATGAAGCAGCCAGTATATTTATTTATAAAATTCATCATTGAGACACAACCCACTCACGACGCTAGAAAAAAATGTCCGATACACCCAATTGACTCAGCGATTCGCACGCACGCACAATTAACCACACACACATATATATATATTTCTTTAAACTGAAATTCTTTACATGGTAATAACTAATATTATCGGCTTTTATATGCGATTTTCCAGCCCACAGCACGCAGAACTCATTTAAGAGCGAGTCAGTTTTGCAAACGAACTACTGAAACTTAGGGTTGCATCGATTTTCGTATCGATAAATAAATATATATATGGATATAATGTTTATCGCACCACAAATCAAATCTGAAATTATCGACATCAGTGGCCATCACCATCAGCAGAAAAAGTGGCAACACCGCCGTGTATATACATTTTGAGAGAAAATTTCGTTCAGGTGTGAAAATTTGTTGCATATGAACCTAGTTTATAAATAAATTACCTTTTAATGAAAACGGCTTAACAGTTAAACGAACAGCTACTGTCCCCGTTGTCATTGCTCGTGTATTGCGTTACGCCCTATTTCCATATGTATTGACATTAGTCTACAGCCGCAAACTGTCGCGTCGCATTACTTTTTAGTGTTGCCAATTTTTGCTTTTGCATAAAAAACTATCTCAAGCCAAACATTCTGCAAATGGTGTTTCGCTAGCAGCAGAACAGCATATTTATGGATCCAATTAGAATTAATAAATCTAAAATCTTTTGGCAGGGCTACGTATTACCGCCGTTCTAATTACTTATAAACATTTGAAGGACTGGACATTAAACAGCTAAATCTAACCGGAAAAGGCTAAGTAGGCAACACTTGAGCCTGCGCCGCCGCCAAAGTCGTCATACAAAATGAAGTGAGCCACATAACAATGAACATAAACCACAATCAAACTGAGCAAAGACAATACTAAATAATTAATAATACAATAACATTTATCCATTTCTATCCATTTTGTACACAAACACAGTAAACCAAAGAGCACAGCGGTTTTTTGTTAATTTTCTGAAATTTCAATTCGTCTCGTCATTATCATCATCCGCCGCATCCGCCACATCCGCATTGCCATCGTCATTTTTAGCAGCTTTGTCTTACGCCACCCATCGCCCGCCCGCTCAGTCAGCTTTGTGGGAAGCAGCCTTGTATGAAAATTTGCATTACTTTGGATCATTTGAGCATTTTGCAACCGGGAGCTTTGTCGCAATCGTCTACTTCATTCCCCCCAAATAAGTACATACACACAAACCGATTGAGGTGAGTCCTGCTCCAGTTATTCGTGATTTGATACTTCAATTGTGATTTGGCTGATCATTTAACCCATTTGCAGTTATGTCATCAACCGCCGGCAAACGAAAAGAAATATACAAATACCTGGCGCCATGGCCATTGTACTCTATGAACTGGAGCGTGCGGCCGGACAAACGATTCCGGCTTGCGTTGGGCAGCTTTATCGAGGAGTACAACAATAAAGTGCAAATCATTAGCCTGGACGAGGATACCAGCGAATTTAGTGCTAAAAGGTAACACTATAACACTGGGCATTGGAGGCCCGCTTCGTCGGACTCACCAACATACATAAACCTATATCGCATATATATATCTTGTCGAAATAATAACTAAATTTGTAATGCAATTGCTTTACTTATAGCACCTTTGACCATCCATATCCCACAACAAAAATCATGTGGATACCAGACTCGAAAGGCATCTATCCCGATCTGTTGGCAACCAGTGGTGATTATTTGCGAGTATGGCGAGCCGGTGAACCGGACACTCATCTCGAATGCGTGCTCAATAATAATAAGAACAGTGACTTCTGTGCGCCGCTAACATCATTCGATTGGAACGAGGTGGATCCCAATCTGGTCGGCACATCATCCATAGACACCACATGCACAATATGGGGCTTGGAAACGGGGCAGCCGCACGCGCGCGTCTACGTCGCTGGGCATGTAAAGACGCAGCTCATCGCCCACGACAAAGAGGTCTATGACATTGCATTTTCACGTGCCGGCGGCGGACGAGATATGTTTGCCTCCGTAGGCGCTGACGGCTCCGTGCGCATGTTTGATTTGCGTCACCTGGAGCACTCAACCATTATCTACGAGGTGGGTTCGAATTGAATGCTTAGTTTAAGTATATCTAAATATCTATAAATTGATTTATTATACATCATATTTTGTATAGGATCCGGCGCATACGGCGCTGCTGCGCTTGGCTTGGAACAAACAGGATCCAAATTACTTAGCCACAGTTGCCATGGATTCATGCGAAGTTATTATTTTAGATGTTCGTGTTCCTTGTACACCTGTTGCAAGACTGAGCAATCACAGAGCGTGCGTCAACGGTATTGCGTGGGCGCCGCATAGGTAAGTAATAAAATACAAATAAATACATATATATATATATATATATATATATACATTTGTACATGTGCAGTTCCTGTCACATTTGCACTGCCGGTGATGATCACCAAGCACTGATCTGGGATATACAACAAATGCCACGCGCAATCGAGGATCCAATTTTAGCCTATACAGCTGCTGAAGGCGAAGTCAATCAAATACAATGGGGAGCCACGCAACCCGACTGGATAGCTATTTGCTATAACAAAGCGTGCGAGATCCTGCGGGTCTAAGAGTCAATTTTTCTTACAACCCTTCCCCCGCCCCCCAACACATAAAATGCCGCCTGCCCCCCTCCCACACCAACACCGGCCCCTCCATCAATGCGACCCACACAGCTCTGCCTGCGACTGTGACACTGAGGATGTGGTTGGCTGCGGTTATAGACGCGCACAATGCACAGTCGTCGACACACACACCCTCAACCATAACAATTATAACACCCACATGCACACACAGACACACACAGCCACAGACACACACAGCCACAGACACACACACACAAACACACACTGTCACACACACACACATACACCAATACGAACGCAAGGTAGTTGTAGTTTTGTAGGCGCAGCGGAAGAAACTTGTTTTAATTATATAACATAAATACTATATCATATATATATATATATATATATATATATATATATGTATATATATAGTTTTGTGCTCGGATATCGATTTATATCCCACATGCCCGCAATTGTAACTGCATCCAGTCAAAAATGAATTCGGAGATTTGAAGCCGAACATTAGTCGAGTGACATGCGATGGCAGGCGGAGCAGCTTTTAGCTTAGCGTTTAGTTTAATCATGCTCTCTGTGGTCAGGTCAGGTGAGGTCAGGAGGTGGACACATTTAGCATATTAGCTTAGTTGAACATACAATTACGATATATAAGTCTCAAGGTATAACCAATATATGTATTGCTATTTGTAATTTATTTGACTCGTTTGGCACATCACGCTAAATCGACAACAGCCTCTGATTTCCGAGCATTAAGTTTTATTTATTGATTTGTCTGCATATTTTTTGTTTTGTGTTGTTTTGTCAACATGACAAAAAAAAAAAACAAAAGCAAAAAAACTAAAAAAAAAAAAAAAGCAAAAGAAAAAACATAAAAACAAGATGAACAAAACAAAAACAATGTCCTACCTCGTTTTCCAACATGTAAATGTTGCTATATTTGTATCTAGCCGCAATAACAACAACAACAACAACAAAACCAGCAACCACAACAACAACTACATGCATACAAGAACAGCAAACAAACAAACAACATCAACAAAAGAGAGAAAACCCAGAAGAACAAGCAAACCAAAAAGATGCAAAACGCTTTTTTCGAAATGTTTTTTATTCTTTGTTCAGATTTTTATTATACGTTTTCTATGAGAACCAAAAAACATAAGCAAAATATAAAAACAAAGGACTTAAGCAAACGAAAATCGCAGACGCAAAGCAAACATAAATAAGCAAAAAAAAAAAAGAGAAAACAAAAAAAAACAAGAAACCAATACTTGTATTAAGAAAAGGAAAAAAGAAAACAACTGCACAACCACAGCTAAATACAATACATACTATTTAAAATACAACTAAAACAAAAAAACCGAAATATTATATGAGCGAGAGAGAATACAAGATTGTTGCTATCCATTTAAAACAAAACAAAAAAAGAAAAAAAAACGAAAAATATGAAGAAAAAAAAACCAAAACAAAAAGGAACACATAAAATATTGACTGCATACGATTACCATAACTTCATGATATATACAACATCCAGGCCGAAAGATCGATCGATTCCCCCAACTTCCGCTAAATAATTGTAAGCACTGAGAGCAGAGAGTACTAAGAATACCAAAGCATACACACACACACAAACACACAGATATACACACACGAACAATTCTACGGTCGAAACTATAGTAAGCGCCGCTCTGAGACTGAAATAAATTGAGATCCCTTAGAAGAGATGCCTTTCCGTTTGCTCAGAGTAATCTATTGGAACATATACTAAAACTACAACTGATACTGCTCATGAATTTGTATGTAAATACGATGAAAGCCTATTCACTCTGTTCATATTTTTGGATTTTTTGTTTCTGGTTAAAACAAAGTAAAGAAAATGAAAATGAAAAAGAAAAAGAAGAATATAAATAACAATCAGCAGCTGTTAACACTTGACAAGACTTAGCGCATATAAAGCCAAGCAACTGAAATTGAAAATAAAGAAGATTTAACCGAATACCAAACCAAACCGAACCCAAATCAAATCACATCCTTTTTGATATGTACTTGTACGCACACATATGTATATATATATATATATATATATACACACAGAGACACACATACATACATACTGCAAAGCATGAGCAAGCATTATTTGGCAAACGGTTTCCGAAACTTTTAGCATTCATTAATCATTGACAAAATAAGAAATTCTTTATACTTACACATACATCCATACACACATACGAACTTATGGAAAACCACACACACACACACACACACTTACACATAAGCACACGCATATTATAATTATGTAATCTTAAGACAAACAACCAATATTTTTGTGTATTTTTTTGTCCGTTTCTTTTGTATTGTTTATAAATACATATGCTAAGTTTAAATTATACACACATACGCGCATTACAAAATCTAAGTACAGATTCAAATATTGGTATATACTTATATATATGTATTTATATATATGTATATAAGACATCTGGTATCAAGCTGGGTCAGCGCGGAGTGATGAACTAGGAGGCAGCAGGAATGTGTGAGCAGCAAGGAAAGACGAAAGTGAAAATCCCAAACAGAAATTATTTAAATAAACCATTTTTAAATAAACATTTAATGCGCGCCTTCACTTATATCAAATCGGGCAAATCGGGCGGCGCACAAATACTGCCAATATCGACAATTCCGAGCGGTGCCCTTTGACCTGCTGCACTTGACCTGAAAAACATTGATTTTACTATGGAGGTGGCCAGTGTAATTTGATTTGGTTTGTCTACCTTTTCGTCCCCGACGGATTGGAAGACTTGATGCTGAGCAGCTCGTTGGATTTGAGCTTCTTGATCGTGATCTGCAGATGGCCAGTGATTTGGGAGCGCTGGACAACAGACTCATGTGGCTTGACCTCCTCGCTGTAGGCTATTTGGAATATCTTACCTTTGACAGTGACTCGCACATAGTTCATCTGTATGTCCACATCGATGTGGGATGTGTCCAGATGCCTGTGGTGATTGGTGATTAAATGCAGTAAACATTGACATTTGAATTGAATACGAACTTGTACACTTCCAGTAGCAGACTGTAATGGTTGGGCTCTTCCTCAAATTTGAAGGTCAGCTTGGCCTGGTTTAGATTGTATGGTCGTCCGCAGGGTGCAAACAGCTTCGTTGTCCTCTTTGGCTTTTCGGTCAATGGGTTTGGCTTGGACGGGTGCCGTTCCTTGCCCAGCTTATGCTGACGTGCAATCTCCGTGCGTACTTCGGGACAGTGTTCACTTTTGGCATTCCAGAAGGCGCGCACGCGCTCCTCTTCATCATCAATGCCGGCGCACTCTTTGGCCAGTTCGGCCTGCTGCTCGGCAACACGAATACGCTGCTCGTCCCGCTCGATGGCCTGTGCCGTCTGGCACTGAACGACGATAGCGCGATGCTGGGCCAGCAGACGCTGTGCCTGCAAACGTGCCGACGGCACAATTTCCGTGCAGTCGAGACTGTGCAGCTGGGGCAGCGTGGCCAGTACAAAGTCACGATAGTGTGGATAATCGACGCACGGATTACCGATGAGGACCAGCTCGCGCAGATTGTAGTTGCCACGAAGAGACTCAACGCTGGTCAGCTCGCCAATAAAGTTGAGCGTCAGATCGAGCTTATTCAGCGACTCGAGACTCTCGAGATTCTCAATGCGCTCGATGTTATTGATTGCCACATTGAGGTATTCGAGTCGCTTCAGCTTGTGCAGATTCTCTAGGCGTGCTATCAGATTGGACTGTAGGAGGAGTATCTTGAGATCGCGACACCAGTTCTGTATGTGCTCGATGCGCTCAATGTCCTCTTGGTGCAGCGACAGCTCCTCGAGAGTGCTAATTAATCGCTCATTATGCTCCGACTTTTTGCGCACCAGCTCCTCGGTGACTGTGTTTGGGGGAAAATGCCAAAACACATTCCATTAATCTAGAATGCAAATGATTTGCGGTAATCGTTTTACTTACTGCGCACCATAATTGATCGCCGGATTTATAAATATGTATTTATGCTACTACAACCAGACAGCTTTAGGTCAATAAAATAAAATAAATAAACAAACAGCGTTGCTAGGAACAGCACAGCACATTTGATGTTAGTTCTTGTTGTTCTTGTTGCCACCCAATTCAAATTTAAGTTTATGTCATCGGATAATGTTGATTAACATATCGATTTGCATGACCGCAGCGAATTTGGCACAAGCGGCACCCTGTCTTTCCGATTGGAGCAAATCTAATCAGTTGAATTAGTTAGCTTTCCCACTAAATGCTCAAATGCAGGGCCGGACTGCTGTTGAGCCTGGAGTGTTCTACATAAATATCTATATATATAGCATAGAAACAGAACAGTTGTTCTGCTTAAACATAAACTTTAACGATAATTGGACGACTTAAGAGGAGTAGCTAGCTTAACATCCATAATATATATTTAATATGTAATATGTACATTTGTTTGCACACATGTCTGTGAAAAATAAACACTCAACGTACACAACTTATACACAACTGGACAGTGAAATAGGTGACTGCCATATAAGTTCATTTCATTTGCAATTCTTTATATTTTAGTGACTACTCGCCTTTTATAAATATTACCGATTTCCAATAAGAATTGTCTTCACACCTATTTTACTGTCCAGTTGTGTAAATAATTACTGTACATACCTTTTGTTTGTGTAATCCGCTCCTGTGGGGCTGCGGCTAAATGTATGCTCGGCTCATTGAACTTCCCCAACGTGCGCAACAGGCAGACGGCAGACGACAGACGACAAACAAACACAGACATTGTAGCGGCAATTAGCAGCTCTAGTCGAGAAATGGTCAATGATAAGGATGTCGACATTTTGCGTCCGCTAAGCGATAGCGAAGTGGACGAGTTGATGCAGCTGTATAGCGACAAATATGGTGTGCTCAATTTCCATTACCTGCTGCTGTACAATCAGCGCAAATGGGATCACCAGCTGGACGCGGCGGGCATTTCCCGAGATGACGAGGCACACATTTCGATGCGCAAGCGATTCTATACTCATCGGACGGGTGATTTTCGTCGCTATGGCACATACGTCAGTCTGCACCAGGACATTGTGCAAAGCGTGTCCTTCTTCACATGGCAGCCAATCGAACCCGTTGAGCTGTTCGCTTGCCTCGAGCAAACGCAATACATTCAATGGTCCAAAGGAGCGCTGCTCACTAACGTTAATCTTGGCTTTTGTGAACGCGTCAAAGAGCTGGCCACGAGGAAGGGAGCTGCTGGCATCCAAGCACGTCAATGCCATGGCATGGTATTGGCCAATGCTGATGCCCGCGGAGCGAAAGTGCCTGACCAGTTGTCGGACTTTGAGCTGCGTCGCCTAACCGTTGAGGATGCGGCCTTAGTACACGCAAAGTGGACCAACAATGGCGAAGGATCGCTTGCCTACATCCGTGCTTTAATCGAACACAATCAAACACTTGGCGCCTGTCGCAGCGACACCGGTGAGCTGATCGCCTGGATATTCCAGAACGATTTCGCTGGCCTTGGGTACGTTTCTGGCGTTGTGATAGCTGAGCGCGCTCCTTGCACATGCATCTCTTTTTCTTTTCAGCATGCTAACGGTGCTGGCCAAGGTGGAACGACGAGGCCTTGGCGGTCTCTTGGCTGCGGCGATAACCAAACTGATTGCGAAACGGGAACAGGTTACGCTCACCGCATGGATTGTCGACGGCAACTGGCGCTCGGAGGCGCTACTCACCCGCATTGGCTACAAAAAGTCAGTCGTCAACGAGTGGATTAAGCTGTTGCCCGCATAACTTCTGGCAACCTGTTGAGTGTAGGTTGATGTGGGCTATGTCGTTATGGCATTAGGCATTAGCTAGTGGTGAATGAGGTTTGGGCAACGGCAAGAAAAGTCAAAGGGTTTTATATAGTAGTACGTAGTATCTCTATATGCCTATGTACACCGTCAACAATTTTTATTACGCATTTCGATGCGTTTAGATCTTTTACATTTTTGATTTCTTGTAAATACAGACACTTTTAAGGCTTAATCGAATTCAAATTTTGAAAGCAAATGTCATTTTCTAGCGGCAATTGAGGCTAATCCTATCTGGGGTTCGTCTCGATTTTATACTTATTTACATACCGCTTCACGAGTATGCATTTATACACATACCTACAAATATCATACAATAATTTACAATATTGGATTGGGACAGGTCGTCATGAGCAGTGGTGGTGGTGGTGGTGGAAGTGGTGGTGGTGCAGGATGGGGTAACACAAAACAATTGAATTGGAAAATCAATCAGAGGGAGAAGAGAGAGCAGGACAAGTATGATATATTTTTGGATGCTTGTAGTTGTTGTTTCGAATGCTGAATAGTATATTCAGGTTGGCCATATAGATAGATAGTCGATGCTGATAACATGGTCCGTTTTCATGGTAATTGTGATGAATGGCTATAAGCAATGCAACAGATCGAGACAAAAGGGGTGGGTGGGGGTAGGTTGAAGTGTCAAAAAAAAAGAAGAAAAATAGTACAATAAAGCTGTGTTGTAATACAATTTCACTAACTACAATACTAAACGAAGAGCAGGCGCGTGTTGCTCGCACTTGGCATACCGCTGCCATTTGCCAGCAAACTGTTGCCGGTTGCCATTGTCATTGGCATTGTTACGATTGCCGAGCTTGTCGTTTGGGTCTTGTGCATGCCGCCATTTCCCATACTGCCGTTGATTGGATTGCGATAATGGGAAGAATCATTGAGCGGTGTGTACTTAATGTGATTGCTATGCGCCAGCGTCGGTAGTTTGCTTGCCCTTGTGATTTGCTTGGCCCGATTGTAGCACAGCACACCGATAATGGCCAGCGTCATTCCAAGACAGTTAACCCATGTTACCGGATTGCCCAATATTATAAGCGATACGGCAATTACAAATATTCGCTTCGAGGCGCTGGCTACCGCATAGGTAAGCGGCGATACCAGCGATAGCACACTGAATGCAATTATGTTTTGCATCCAATTGAGGACGCCATCGGTGAAGAGCAGTGCAATCACCCGGTAATCCAGATTTTTCTGCAAACCATACGCAACAAGTTGTATTAAAATGCTTATGATGACTAATAATAATACACAAAATAAACCTATTACTTACAATGGCCGTATGACGGAAAACAGCTAGGCTGTCCACGTAAAGCCAGAGAGGCAGGAAAATAAATAGGGATAGCTTGCCGAGCAAATGCAGCAGACGCAAATGATGTATGCCTGTATCCTTGAGTACCTGTCATTTGAATAGCATAGGAAAGTTGACGATATAATATAATTGTAGAATTCTGCTGCTGTTGACCGATTTACCTTCTTGGAGAAGATGTTTTGCATTGAGAAGCCCATTGTGGAAATGAGTGCGCTAACCAGGCCAAGCATATCGAATGAGATTTCCGTTACTGTCGCAATTGCCACGCCCGTTATGATGGGTAAGAGACTCAGGTACACGAGTTTGGGCTGTTTCTCACCAAAGAAGAGCCGCGTCAGAATGACGGTAAAAAGCGGCATAGTCGCTTTAACTAAAACATTTGATGACGTGTGAAATATGGTTTACAAATATTTATAATTATGTATGTCTATGTATTCACCTGTGTGCGCATAGGAGACGGGCACTTTCCACAGCGATATGTGCGATGTGACCGAGGCGAGCAGTTTGCCAATGGCCAGCGGCACAATTAGTCGCATATAATATGCTCGAGGTATATCCTGATACTTGCGGATGCGCCACAAATTGAAGAATGGACCGCTATACAGCGTGATGCTGCATAATTGAACGAGAGTGACGGTCATCGGGAATGGAAATTCATTGAGCACCATTTTGCCAATGACATTGTTACTGGACGATATCACGTACCAGAACAGGCACATCAGCAACACGACTGCAACATGACGCGAATTTGTGCGCTTGCCACCCAACATTTTTAAAATATGTGTTTTATTTTAATTAGCTGTAGCAGTAGCTATTGCCAGTGTCAGCAGCCCAGTGTCACACCCAGTGGGCCTGCCAGTTCGCTGGTCCTTATTATCGATGTGCGTCTATTGCATCTCGTTATGTGTTTAAATATTAAATAAAGGCATGCACGTCGACAATGTTGTCGGTTTGTTTTCTACGTGGACGCGAGTGTGGCCAGACCGAAAATACGGCAAGTGTTCACGAGGGCCGGCACATTGTGTTATCGATAAATATTGTGTTCGATAAATAATATCGAGCAAATTTTAAATAACAATTCACAATGAAAATTTCACATTTCAACTATTTGGTCGAGAAAATATTTAAATGCAAAATGCGTTCTTGTACTCTTTTTTTTCCTGTCTCAGGAATTATTGTACTTATTATTGTTAATTGTATTCGCATTAAAAATTGATATACTCTTTGCAATGGATATCGAATTACTTGAATTAGCGCGCCAATTGTTTGCCCTCAGCTCGATGCACAGCGAAAGCCCTGAGAAGCGCATGATATAGTCTATCTGCCCATAGATTTGAGCGGGGCATTGTCGAGCAGAGTTCCTTTAGTGCCAGCATGATATTTTCTTGCTGGGCATCAAGTTCATCTAAGTTCATCTCGTTAAACTGGGCTGCAGCCAGAAGACGCCTCGATTTAATACTGGCATTGCCTGGACTGCAACATCTTGATAGCGGTTTGCAAAACGCGCATCCGTTAGGGCCGACACATTAGTAAGTAATCGTGTGCTGGTGATGGACCCGTCCACTGCCTTGCTAGCCACCTGTTGGGAACGCAGCTTATGCAGCTGCATGTTAGAATAGCTCATCAGCTGCAACAATCAATCGCGTTGCATCAATGCCGGTGACGCGCAGCATTTGAGCTGTCTCATCCGGAAAGCGCTGTAATCCCCATTTGGCCACATCTATGTTGGATGCAGTCGTGGAGTTAAACTTTTACTTCACATTAAAGTTGTTGCACAGCGGCGAGGGGCACTCAAAGATTTCATTTCTCATATAGGAGACACGGTTATTCAGCTTCTTGATAATAGTGTCCACCACAAGGAACTCTGTCGACGGTGTCTTGGACGTCAGTAGGCGCAATAGACTAAGTACCGCCTTTGCACATTACACAGCCAGACTGGGCTTCTCCTTAATTGTTAGCGGTGGTGAACGAGCAGCAACAGCAGCAACTTCATCAGTTGCTCCAGTGTTTAATTATTGCACTGACCCCGGGTACATGGTTGTATTCCATTTTTCGGCTGTCGCTTTTGACATTTATCTGAAACATAAATTTCAAAACATCGTACTATCGATGTAACATCGATAGATCGATGTTACTTCGATAGTACGATGTGTCCGACACTAATTTAATCGTGTTGAAATTCACAAAGCGTTTGTAGGATGTGAAGTCGTGTTTAACAAGTCGTAAATTTGTCGAGCGAAATTTATAAAAATGGATCGCATTCGAATCTTTGCAGGCAAACAGTTTGTTTCGGGAGGTTTTTACGTAAGTGCATACCTTCCACATTTTTCTTATAGTACATATTTGCAAACAGGTACACATACATATGTACATCAACGTACATCATTATTGCAATATATAAGAGCGGTCATTCAATAATTTCATACCATTCTATAGTTCGTGCATATGTGTATGTATGTCTTTTGCAAATGTAATATATTTAGTGCCAGGCTTTTTATGAATGGTGTATACGTTCATACATATGCATACATGTATATATGTATGTATCTACATGTACCTAACTATTCAGTTGTATTTTTGCGTTACATCTCTAACCTCTTGTATGTACATACAAACGTTGGTACAAACACAGAGTGCATATATATATATATATATGTATATGTATATGTATATGTATATGTATATGTATATGTGATTTGATGCATGCGTGTGTGTGTACAGAGTATCTAATCAATACTGGTATACATACATTAGGAAGAGTAAATCGTCACATACAATATGCACATAGAAGCACTTATATTCGCATATATGTCTGTATGTGTAGGTATGTACTAGATTTGCCATTTTGATTCAGTTGTTTTTCAGACAACAGTGTGGCAACACCAGTAGATGCATCATACGTACATGAATACATACACATATGCGGGCATATGCATCATCTTCAATTGTATATCACATTTTTTTGCAATAATAGTAATTCAATTTTTATTTATATAATTTACAGCGCACAAATTGAAAATGTGTGTCTCAAACCAATTGTGATTTTATTTGCAATAGCCCCTAAAAGTTTCCTTAATCGCAAGTGCCAAGCGTTGTCCACACCCCTGCCCACTGTTCGCTGCTGTCCAAGAAGAACATGCACCCCCCCACACACACACACATACATACACCCACACATACATACATACGTAAAACTGGACTGCATTTCGGTGGTGGTGCCCTGGACAATTGAGTTAAACAGCTGGACTTGCGATCCTGGTTACTTTGAGGACTGCTGAAAATCAATTCACCCAAAATTGTAACAAAAATTATTAGTTTAGCGTTAGATAGCAATGATCATTTACTTCACTTGATTACCCAAACGAAAAATCGCTAACTTGAAATGATGAATTGATTTGGCCAAACCAAATTCAGCCTGGTTCGGTGACAGCATAGGTGACCATCCACAGAATCCATGGGGAGTTTTTGTGATTGGCAGCTATGGATGGCGCCCGTTGCCAAACATTTGGTTAGTGTGATTGATTGATCCAATGGTCGGCTCACGGTTACGTTGGAGCAGTGCGTCTGCACGATTCGTTTGGGCACTTTGTGTTGTTGGAGTGGTCATGGCTATTCCTGAACTATGGTTTTTAGTAGAACCGCCGGCACACGTGCTGAGATAAAAGCCTGCGACCACGCCGGTAATAGATCCCTTTGAATGGCATGTAAGACATTTCGAGATTGGTATTACATACTACATATACATAAGCAAAACAGGCGCAACATTTTGTTTGCCTGTGCTCATAGCTTAAGCCAACAATTCAATAATAAACTGGGACGGACCTTCACTGTTTTGCTTTTTTCTTTTCAATATTGTTTACATTTTGTTCTCTGCAATATTTTTCATTTTAAAATTGACACAAAATTTCAGTTCCTTTTTGTTCAAATCTTTTATATCAAGCATAAAAAATCTTTTGTTCGTGTTATGGTTTTAACAAAATTATAGAGATTTCAATACCTAATAATTAATCAATAGTAAAATATGCTTAATTGCGCTATAAAAAAAACGCAATTAAAGAATATAAATGCTAAATACCTCAAAAAAATGTGATTAATTAAAAAGAAAATCTATTCTTTTTTGGTTTATTATTTTTTATAATGACTTGAAACTATTTAAACGCATGCTATATTAAAGAAAGTTTAGTTAACATACATTTTGAACTCAAATAACAGCCCAACAATATTAATTTTAAAATTTAATTTAATAACAAAAAAAGAATAAGACCGATTTTGTTTGCCCATTGGTTAAGAATAATTTTGAATATACTTTCTTAAGGACTTGGCAAATAATTTTTCTTGTTGAAAATAAAAAAGCAAAAAATTTAAGAACAAAATTGTTGCCCCAGGAGCGTATGTTACTAATATTCGACTTTATTTAGAATCCGAATGCAGTTGCGGCTAACCCATCGGTCGTGCCACCGCTTGTTGGCCCATCAGCAGCACCTACTTTAGGATCGCAGCAGCAGGTGGATCACGTTGAGTCGATGAATATTCCAATATTGAGCAAAGACGAGCAAATGGTCGACGCAAAGGCAAATGTGCAGGAGGCAACTGGTACTGTCGTCAAAAATGAAAACGCCTCGGGCTTCTACACCATGATGGAAGCTGATAATGGTGGAAAAATACCGTTCAAAAAAATTTTCCAGAAGCGCAAGAAGTCATCCGGTACGTAGTATGCATCAAAAATTTGTGTGAAAGACTTATTGTGTGTTGTCAACGCGATGGAACGTCGCTTAGATTCAAACTGTCTGCTCTAACGAGCAGACCTTTATTTTATTGGCAATTCTTAAATATACATACATATGTTCCTTTATCTAACGCAGCCGCTTGTCAGGCGACCGCAATATATCTCCTGTCTCCTGCGATCCTCTGGGATCTCTAAGAATAGCGTGACCCTATGGAGGCAAGCCTCAAGTGCCTACCCTTGAGAATGCCGCATGAGTCCGCTATCTGGTTCTTAGAGCGTCGCATGTTCAGTATTTAAAAGAATTAAAGTTAATTTATTTCACTTTTTTTGTACAGAACGGACACGTGGTAAGAAATTGCGCCAGAATCGGCAACTGCGCAAGTCGATGCTACCCAAGAATGCTCTAATGGCCCTGAACGAGGTGAAGGGCATTAACATTAGTGACTTTACAATTAATAGCAATCCGGATGGCGGCTTCACCGCCATAGTCACCGTTAATGCCGCGCAGTACGAGGGCAAAGGACAGTCGAAGATGGCCGCCAAGAATCAGGCTTGCGAGAAGGCTTTGCGCGATTACATAATAGCCAAAATGATGCCACGCTTTAAAAAATTACACACCGATGTGGAGACGGATACCAACGAGGCTGAAAGCACCGATACTCAACCGGAGGATGATGTGCCCATGCTGAATTTGGCCTCGTTTGCCATTTACAAACTTTTCGCCGAATGGGAGCGAGAGGGATTTGTTGTGCCCGAAATGCATCCAACGGTTGCCAGTACATCTGTTCAGCCAGTCGATCCAAATTCACCATCTGCGGCTGCTCCAGTCATTCCAAAGGAGCCAAAGAAGCCGCCCGTACGCACGGAGCTGCCGCCCAACTGGGAGACAATGCATCCAGCCACATTGCTATGCGTTGTAAGTGAACTAATAACTGTAATTAGTGAGACTCCACTAAACATTCCGTTTTGTTCAACTTACAGATGCGTCCCGGGCTCACATACATAGATGATGGCACTGTCGGCAACAAGCCAAATATAATGCAGCGCTTGGGAGTCATTGTAGACGATGAGGAGTTCGTCGCTACCGGACGTTCCAAGAAAATAGCTCGCCGCAATGTGGCTGTAAGTGTTTGCAACACTTTGTTCAACACAAACTTTGTCTACGAGGCATAATATTGCAAATGTCAGCAACTTAATCCTTAATTAGAAGACTACAAACTTGTCAAACACTACGTTACACACACAAGCTTCAGTTGGTTTTAACCTGTAATTATATACATAATTTAATAAAAAGTTATCGATATTATAATCTATATAAAGAAGTACTCTGCGCACAGTCTTAACGGAGTGTAGCGGGTAAATTGGAAAATACAATTTATGTAGATGCTTGGGTGGATTTATTATTATTCAACAGCAACAACAATCACGAACAAAAAGAGATTCAAAAGGATTGGCAATATTTTTGGCATTAAAATCTATGAACATAAAGCAGTTTGGACTGACGGACGGATCAGCATCGATTCAAACAGTGTCGACTTTTGAAAATGGTGCCTAATCACGAATATGAAATACAATCTTAAGCGACAGCTGATTTCTCGTATTCGGACTGTCTGGCAACATTGAACATAACAGCTGATGCATTGTTAGTACATTGTATCGATTACAACAAAAAGATTACATACGCAAAATGTCGAAATTAATTTCTTACGCAGCTAAAAGTCCTTTGCGTAATATACGCCTTGGTGCAACTCAAATAATGTAAGTAACTATTAAGATTTGCTTCGTCATATGAATTTTATGGATTTGTTGTTTTGTTGCCAGCTGTCAGCATGCATCCACAGACTGCATGCACATGGCTGCGTCGGCATCGGCGTCTTCGTCGGCACGTAAAACATATTCAACACTTGCTGTTGATCTTACAAAACAACAGATGCTCCTACGGAAGCCATTGGAAACATTGGCACTACAGATAACGAAGCGCAGCATGTTCATTCAGACGCAGGACACACCGAATCCAGACAGCTTAAAGTTCTTGCCCGGAGTTGAGGTGCTTGGCAAAGGGAATACTTACGACTTTCCCAGTGCCACAGCGGCGCATTGCAGTCCGTTGGGTAAGGCAATTTGTTTGCCAAGATGTATGATTGTCTAACTTCGTCCATTTGCAGCTAAATTATTGTTTCGCGTGGAAGGCGTACGTGCTGTGTTCTTTGGCTCCGATTTCATTACCATATCCAAAGAGGAAAATGGAGAATGGGGTCTGATAAAGCCGGAAGTGTTTGCCGTCATTATGGATTTCTTTGCCAGCGGTTTGCCCATACTACACGAGGCGCGGCCAAATGCAGATACAGAAATTTTGGAGGACGATGATGAGACTGTCATGATGATAAAAGAATTATTGGATACACGCATCCGGCCAACAGTGCAAGAGGATGGCGGCGATATTGTTTTCATTAGTTACGAGAAAGGCGTCGTTAAGTTGAAGATGCAGGGCTCTTGCTCATCGTGCCCCAGTTCTATTGTCACCCTAAAGAATGGTGTGCAGAACATGCTACAATTCTATATACCAGAAGTTGAGTCCGTGGAACAGGTCTTTGATGAGGTGGACAAAGTGGCAAATAGTGAATTTGAGCGTTTCGAAAAAAGCTTAAAGCAAAAAGACTCGGCTAATCCGCCTGTCAGCATTGGTGGTACTCAAAATTAGGCTTGTTATAACTGTGTTTTTCCGATTACATTACGTTACGAAGTTTAGTAAGTTTACAACTATATATGTATGTATATTTGAATAATCTACAGCTTTAAAAATCATGTTGACCGTTATGTTTGTTTGTCTATTGTTATAAATTGTGGAGGGCGGGTGATTGTATTCGCACTATGCGTAACTTGCAGTGTTAGGCAATGACGCTGCCAATTAACTGTTATCGATATATTGTGCTTTTCGGGTTCGGGAATCGATTATTTATTAGTTGACAACTGTAGCTTTCGCATTCCTGAAGTTCGATATTTATTTCATGTAATTTCGAGCTGTACGCGCTGTTTGTGCTTGGGAAATGTGTTTTTTGCGTTTTCTGATGCAAGCGCGTTCAACGCTAAGTCGCGTAAGTGGTAAAACTCTTGTGGCAGCCAACGCGTCGATGTGATTTCCTTTAACATATGTGCATATGCATATGATAAAACCTTCTCCACCCTTATAGTATGTACCCGAGAGGACGACAACTGACAGCGCACGCAAACTACATCTGGTGATTGGGAATGAGTCGTGCGATCTGGACTCGGCAGTGTCCGCCGTCACGCTAGCCTTTATCTACGCTCAGCGACAACAGGAGCACGACTATGTACCGGTGTTGAATATACCACGCATAGATTATCCATTGAAAACGGAGGTGGGGCACATGTTCAACAAGTGTGACATCAATGAGGAAATGCTGCTCTTTCGCGACGATCTGCCCAATCAGTTGGCCAGTGATATTGATGTCATACTAGTTGATCATCATATCAGCCAATTAGCTGCCAATGTTAGCGAAATACTCGACCATCGGCCCTTGGAGCAAAATGCAGTGATGCAGTTGCTGCCCGCACACTGTGTGCGGCAGATTGAGCCCGAGATTGGATCCTGTGCGACTTTAGTCGGCGAACGCTATTTGGCCGAGGAGCAGCCACGCTCCAGTCGCGTAACGCAGCTACTGCATGCGACCATCCTGCTGGACACTATCAATTTTTCGTCAGCAGCAAAACGCTTTTGCCCAAGCGATTTGTTAATGGTTGATCAGCTGGAGCAGATGCAGCAGCATAGCGACGATTCTTCTGAAGAGGGGAATATACGACGGCGTCAGCAGCTCTTCGATGAGCTGGTCACCGCACGCGCCGACATAAGCAAGTTGTCGCTAACGGAAGTGCTGCGCAAGGATATGAAGCAACTACAAACCGAACGCCATACAGTGCCGATAGCTGGTCTGCCAATGCTGGCGCGGGATTTCATAGAAAAGAGCGATGCTGAGCTTGCAATACGTCAGTTTGCTGCCGGCAGCAATCTGCTTGTCATACTGGGAATGCTCGTGCCCCCCCAGACTGGCGGCGGTCAGGTGCAGCGCGACGTGGCGCTCATCTCGCTGACGGGTCAGAGGCAGCTAGTGGAACGCGTGCGCCTGGCACTGCTAGAATCGCAGTCGCCGCCGTTGCAGCTGCATCCACACGAGGTGGAGACGAACTTTTTAGGCGGCTGCTATTTGCGTCAGCATAACGTCCAGGCCACCCGCAAGCATATTCTGCCTATCATCAAGCAGGTGCTGGTCGATCTGGAGGCCTCACATCTCTGTGACTGCGACGATGTCTACTTCTTCAAGGAGAAGCCCAAGTTGGGTCTGTCCTAGACGCCACTGTGTGAGCTTGAGCAAACAATGTCCAACCGCAAGTACAAAGCATGGGACACACACACACATACACTGATATGCAGGTGCTACCCGCTCTGCTTATGTATTAGCATTAGTTCAAGCATTAGTTACAGCCACTGAGATCTAATCAACGCTATTGACAAATCACTTGTCTTTAAAATGGTTCCAATTGCGATGCGAAAGTGCCACAAACCTATCACATTGTTACAACTTGAAGTAATCATTTTCCCAACTGTTATATTTATGTTTAGTTGATTTGCTTTAAATTAGAAACTAATTGGAGTTGCAAGAAAATTAAACAATACTCAGATCTGCTAATGAATCTGAGCTCGAGCCAACGATCCGACTTGTTCAAGAGCCTAAAATCGAAAATTCTCATTTTTGAAACAAAACTTTCGAATTGTGTGTTTGCAAAAATTATGGTGAAAATTCAAATTAAAGTATAGCAAATTACACTGTCAATCAAGATATTAGAATCGCCTTTTTGGAATGCGAGCTTACCAATTTTTTTCAATCCGATATTTCAAAAAAAAAAAAAATTAAAGTCAGTTTTAAATATTGATTTCATATTGTGTACTTCCAATTCCCACCAATCAACCTAACGGCAACTATGATACAGTGCCTGATATATATACGAAGAACTAATAAGATCTGTAAACAGATTTTCCAAATGCAGAACAAGTGTATTCGTATAAAAATGACTTTTCGATCGAGTAGGATCTATATAAAGATGTGAAAAGCAAATTGATAATCAGATCTTTAAAAAATTCTCTGAAGTGATCGAGTTCAACAGAAATAAATGAACTCTTCATCCTTGATAATTCCTAAGGTGTAATCTGTATGAAGTTTCAAAACTTTACTATATAGTATTAGGATAGAAAAGTATTTCCTGAGCAAGAGAGCAAACACTCCTTCTACCAGTCCTCAAAGGCAAGATCAGATATTAAGAGTTAATAATCAGCCAAATCTAATTCACTTTTGTTTTATTCTGCAAATATACATATATGTGTAAATAAACATAAAAGAAATTAAAACTAGAATTTTTACATCTGAGGCTCGGGCTGTTGAGCCGCTTCACCGTCGCCATCAGCATCGCCCATTTCATCGTCGGCACACTCAAGGGTCATATCTTCCAGCATTTCGGCAAGCGTTATCTGTGGAAGATCAGCGCCATCTGGCTGCACGTCGACGGGTATTGTTTTCTTGCTATCACGATAAACGTTGATCTGGCCACGAATTTCAACGTTTTCTTCGATGTCGTCGAGGAACTCGTGATAGTCATATTTGCTGCGCTCATCGGTGGCTTCATCAGCCAAATGCTTTATCTTCCACAGACGCTGATTGAGGCGCGCCTGGCGATCGTAGTGTTTGCGCACGAGTACCACATCCGGGATTAGTTCCGGTGACAACTTATCGAATTCGGCATCATTGATGTTCGCCTCTCCAGTGTTATAGCCCATAACGGAGTCACCCACTTTGAGCAGATGGCCCAAATGGGAGCGTGTGTGTATGGGATTATCGTTGATGCCCAGCTCTGAGGCCCGTACAACCCAAATGTCGCACAGGGCATGCTTAAAGGAGACTGTGCCCTGACCAGGATAGCTCTTACGATCCTTATCGTGTATGATATCAATATCCATGACCACATACTCGACCAGCTGCTTGGGATTGCAGATGGCCTCGAATGGCGCACGAAAATATAACTGTGTGGTGATCTCTGCGATTTGTGCTGTCATCGGATCGATTAGATGAATGCTGCTCGAGACGCGATTCACCAGACAAACGGGTGAAATGTTGCCCAGCTGCTGACGGAGCTTTTTCGTCAAGCAGACAGCGCTATCCTTTGATATGGGCGCAATTTCCACCGACCACGAGTACTTGTAGTTGTAGTTGTTGCTGTGTATATCATGTGAAATGAGGCGCTTCGACGTGGTCACCTTGGCGGGCACCATTGTTTGCAGAAAATCGACCATGCGACGCGCATGATTCTCGCTCACATAGTAGAAATCTAAGCCGCCGTGCTCCGGCTTGATGCCCAGCGTATTCTCATGAGCTTTGTATTTCAGTATAAGCTGCTCCAGGTAGTAGAAGGTCTTTTTGTTTTCGGCACGCTGACGCACCTGTACCAGGCATCTCCAGAAGTCCTTCGCCTCGGTGCGATGGCAATCGTCGCACATCTGATTCTGTACGGTGAACTCCACAATGAAGACCTGCTGCAGCACGGTGCCGCCAGAGATTTCGCCGTGTACGGTCAGTTTGACCTTGATGCGCTTCGAGTGCTGTTCGGTCCAGATGAAGCCCGCATCGACCAATTTCACCTCCTTGAGACCCTTCAGCTTCTTCAGGCAGACAGCGAGTAGCTCTCGGGATTCGAGTGATGCCTGCACCCACTCGTTGGGAGGCTGCAGATACCGTTCACAGTTGCGACAGAAATGCAGCACCGCTTGCTTCGGTATATTCTCCGTAATGTCAACATGATTTCTGAGACAAGTTACACACATATTGGCTGGATTCGGTTGGATCGCAACGCCACATTCACAGCACAATATCATCGCAGCATTTGCACTGTTTCTGCTGTCAGCGCCCAATGGGCTAACGCCGGAATAGTCGACGTCCTCCATCAGTTTGTTGCACGTCCCTCTGTTGCGTAGTATGTTTTGGGCCAAAACGTAAATCACAACAGCAAAATAACAAAACACGTGCAACCGTCCAAATTTCACACTTTTGTGCAATTAGTATGACCGCATGCCTCGATCCCAAAAATACCTAAAATACTCTTCGGCTATAAGTATTTTTGTAGTATTTATTTAGAAATCGGAAAAATAAATACATTTCGCAACACGCCAAAGGACAAAAACGCTAACATCGATTATGAAAAGCATCGATATTAGATCGTTTGGTTATCAATGTGACCGTTGACTCGTTTGTGTTAATGTATCGATGCTGCTATCCATATTCCATCCTATATTGTTTTAACTGTGGAATTAGACGGCTTAATTAACAGCAAACAAGATAAATGGAGGTCGATGAGGAAGAGTTTGAGGTTCCGTCCAGCAGCAGCAAGGGCGAGAAGAAACGTTTCGAAGTCAAAAAGGTAAGAAAAGGTTTATAGCAAATGAAAAAATAAAATGGCGAATTGGCAAAGTCATTGTTAGCGTGTTACTAATTTTCCTTTATGCTCGTATACAATTTTGGCAACAGTGGAATGCGGTGGCGCTCTGGGCCTGGGGTAAGTCTACGCAAAGCCTAGTTATTATGAAAATTATGTATTCACATCGCGCATTTTTCAGATATCGTTGTGGATAACTGCGCTATTTGCCGGAATCATATAATGGACCTGTGCATTGAGTGCCAAGCCAACCAGGCATCGGCTACTAGCGAGGAGTGCACCGTTGCTTGGGGCGTTTGCAATCATGCCTTTCATTTCCATTGCATATCGCGTTGGCTAAAGACGCGCCAGGTGTGCCCACTAGATAATCGTGAATGGGACTTCCAGAAGTATGGCCACTAATGCCAGCAGCGCACAACAAAAAATAAAAAACATGCAAATATCATTGTCTTAGCACTCATTCTGCCGGCGATACAGCCACACACACATAAACACATTAATCCATAGCATAGTATGTCATAGGGTAAAATGCACGACTCTTGAATATGAGGGTCGAAACAAATAAAAACGCGTGTTTTACACCAATCTCCTGCTGCTTGTTATATTTGCTAAAGGAAGGTAATACCTATCAACTTGCAATTTGAAAAAAACTCAAATGCAAAGACAAATCCACCAACAAAAGAAAGACAGCTGCTGATGATGCACGAGCCAAAAACTGCTGTGGTGCATAAGAGCATGCGATTCAGCTTTACAGATTTCTCTGAATCTATAAGAGATATTCCATCGCCTGAACAATAATTAATTAAATGTCTGCATATGCAAAGGCGGCAAGTGTTGAACACATAACCTAACAAATCTGCATTTAAGAGTTAGTTTGATTAAATTAAAACACATTTAATATATAATACTGTTATAAAATAACAGTATGACTATCTGCACATATATATTGAGTGGCTGTGGAATGAGAATAAAAGAAATGATGAAAAAGTAATGTGATTAAAACCTAATTTGTTTAGTTTATTATTTTTATGAATGTTTGCCGCTGCTGCTGTGCAATACAAAAGAATACACTGCATAATTACATATGAATCAGTATATGTGTATGTTCTTATATTAAGAAAACCGTTTAAATAAAATAAATCTAGCTATTGCCGGCGTGCATTGCTTGCCACGCCCAACTTGGATGCCCCCAAGGACCACCTCAGCATGCGAATCCCCCCTATAATGACACCGATTTCTCTGAGGCAAGGATATCATTTGAAGCATATGGAGCACGCCGTACTTTACGCGGGTAATATACTTGTATTTGTAAATATAGTTTGTATAATTGCTAATTAATATGCTATACTTTAAAATATAACTTAGGCGAAAACAAAAAAAAATATTCAAAACTGATTTGTAGGCCAAATACATTTTTGTGTGTGTATGTGTGTACTATGCGTAAAATTAAATTATTAAAAATAAACTAAAATTAGCAACATGAACACTACAAAAAATGTAAGTTTTGCAATGAATAACACAATCCTCTGAATTTTGCATATCGAGTGCTTAAATACATATACAAATGTACGTATGTTTATGTTTGATTTTGTTTCTTACTTTTGGAAATATTAAAATTTTTCTTTTTGTGTGTGGTGAATGCAACAACAAAACGAAAGAAACAATTACAAAATGTGCAATAATATTGTTGTGTTTTTTTTATATACACGCAAGTTATAAAATATATATATACGTGTTTTTTTTTTTCAATTTGCAGCGTTTATTTTAATGTTGATTTCCTGTTTTGCATTTTTATTTTTAAATATATGTACTCCATTTGTTTTAGCTATAATTTGTTATTATTACTAGGGGGGAAAACTGCACCGCGACCTATTTGATCTATTGTGCCCCCTTCTGAGCTTATAGCTCTTCCATCAGCCCAGCTCTTCCATCAGCCCCAACTCCCGCACGAATACGAGGATCTTTGTTGGGTTGAGGTCTTCTATGTCTTTGCACTTCAAAACATGCGCCCCTAGGAGGCTGCTCTTCTTCTAGCTAAGGCGACACACTCTGCCAGGATGTGTATCGAGGATTCCTCCTCTCTCTCACAAAACCTGCACAGGTCTCTACTATATAAACCCAGTTTTGCTAGGTGACTCCTTAGTCTACAGTGTTAGCTATAATTTAAGTAGATTTTATATTTTGTAGCTTTTGTTTGTTTGTATTTACAAGTAATTTGTCGTGAATTTAATTTGGTTTCCTATTCTTGCATAATTCTCTCTTCTTTATTTAAGTATATTCATTAATTATGTATATGTATTGGCTTTGTAAATTGAGTTTGTATTTATTGCTTTGATGCTATTGTGTTTTCAATTGTTTGCTGCTATTGTTGTTGTTTTTGTTGGTTTTGATGTTGTTCTTGTTCTGCAGCTTTGTTGAGCTTACAGATCTGATTTGTTTTTGTTGTATTCCTTCGTTTCATCTTCATATACACATATTATATATAATTGTTATAATATTTATAGATTTAATTTTAGTTGTAAGGCGTCTAAAACCGCTGCTAATTGCGTTTGTGGTTGTGTCTGTCAGTGTCTGTATATGTATGTTGTGTGTTTGTTTATTTAGTTCTGTATGTGTGCATTGCGTTTAGAATATAATTTTTGTCATACGTTTTTATACCCTTGCAGAGGGTATCCGATTTTTTGCCGTGAAGCGCGTAACACAAAAAAGGACAAGTGTCCAGTCCCATATATATCAATAGCCGAGTCGATATAACTATTCAAACTTAGTCCTAAGTCTTAAAGCTATCTTGACGCAACTTGAAACCCATCCGATTTTGTACTGCATACAGTAAATGTCGAAATCGACCGGATCGAATAACTATTTCATATAGTTTCCATAGAAATTATCGAAAGATTGTGAACTAAGATATCCGGATAAATCTCAATAAATGTGAGACTTATTATCCTCGAAAATTAGAAATATCGGACATTTTTAATTATACTTTGATACCGAAGATATCGCCCTTGTAACATGGAACATCTACTGGTCTGCGCCCGCGTCAAAGTGTAAAAATTGGAGTGCTACGTCCAAGAAATCGATAAAATCGATAGTCTTAAATCGATAAAGCCACATATCTTCCACAATTTTAAGGCTGATAGATTGTTGGCGATGTCCTTCAAATATCGTCCAATATCTCCCGTTAAGAGCTAGAGTTGCCAAATTTAGAAGGAAGGTTACTAGGAATTTTCGGCCACACCCACTCCCTTACCCAAAATTTACAAAAGCCTACATCTACCGCAATACTCCGGTCTGCAAGGGTATGTAATCTTCGGCGTGCCTAAGATAGCTGTTCTTCCTTGTTAAATTATGTTTTTCGTTTCTTCTCTTCTTCACTCAGTTTGCGAGAGAGTGATAGAGAACATTTGGAAAATGTTATGATTGTTGCGGTTTTGATTTGCCTCCCTGCTTCAATCAATGAAAATAATATATATTCCTCGATGCTCTTATTTTTGTTGTTTTTGATGCTGATGATGCTGCGCTGCTGCTTCTGACGTTGCTCTTGTTGTTGTTTGTTGTTGGTGCGTCACTTTGTTAACATATTGTTTTGTTCACCATTACATCGTTTAGCGTTTTGTTTCATTTCAACTGTACATGATTTGTATGCGTTTTAATTCTACTCTTAATTTTTTAACTATGAAATTGTTGTTGCTGCTGCTGCCGTTATAATTACAATTATTATAATTGGTATTGTTGTTGTTATTATTATTATTATTCATATTAATCTCATCATCTTGCTCTTTATCATTATTATCATTACCACCACCAACACTTTGTTTAACAATCGCTTTTTTGCTACTTTTATGCTTTAAATATCCATCTGTAATGGCGAAAGAGAGAGAGAGAGAGAGTGAGAGAGAAAAAGAGAGAGAGAGGAGAAAGAAATAGAAAAAATGCAAAAAAAAAAGAAATGTATAATCAAAGATTTGCAAAAATATTTTTTATAGAGTTTGGCTGATCATTGTTGTTTTTTGCTTTTGTTTGTATGTTGTTATCTATTTTATCCTTTTTATCTAGAATTGCCTACTCTGAATTTACATTTACACAACTGTTACTCATATACATATGTATGTGATAGTCCCACACAAGCAAATAGGCGGCACTTAACGCAAAAGAGAGTTGCCAGACTGCTGCTAAGGGATTCAGAGAGTGAGAGTGAGACAGGGACACACCTGCAGACGCGAACTAAAGCAAGGCAAGCAGCAGGAGGCAAGGACAGACGCAGCGCAGTTGTTATGAAGTGTTGTTCTTTTCTTTGTTTTCTTTTTCTTTTCTTTTTCTCTTTTTTTGTTGTTTTTTTTTTTTGTTTTTTGTTTTTTTTTTTTGTTGGCAATGGCAGCAGTGCAGTCAATTTGCATAGAGATCAGTCGTTGGTTATTTGTTGCTATGTTGTAGTTGTTGATGGTGATGATGTGTTGTTTGTTATGGCAGCTGCTGCTGCGGCGAGGTTGACGACGGCAGCTGCTGCTGTTCAGCTACCAGCTTTGTTGTCTGCTGCTGATGATGATGCTGCTGCTGCTGATGATGATTCTGGTGCTGCTGATGCTGTTGTTGTTGCTGTAGACCAGCAAAGCTGGTGGGTGCCACCAGAGCACATGTGCCAAACGTGTGCTTGGTCATAGTCAGAGCTTGTGGCAGAAAGCTGTGCGAGCTGGAACCGCTGCTCGGTCCGCCAGTTGCGCCATTGCTGCTCGTTATTGTTGAGCTGTTGTTGCTACTGTTGCTGTGGCTGCTGTTATTGTTGCTGTTACTGTTGCTGTTGCTACTACTGACAACAGCCTGCGTCAGCTCCGCAGCACGTTTGATGCTGCTGCTGCTGATGCCAAATTTGCACTGCTGCTGCTGCTGTTGTTGGTGCTGCTGTTGTTGTTGTTGCTGCTGCTGATGCTGCTGTTGGTAGTAGGCCATGTTATAGCTGCTGTTGCTGCGGCTGCCGTTCATCTGATAGCAAATTGGAGATTTTGAGCGTGTAAAAAAATTAGTTGTTGAAGTGCAGGCCGATTGAAATGAACTGACGCTGGATGTTGTTGATGTTGGCGAATCGGCTGCGGGCTGTCGAGTTGCTAATGTTGCCATGGATGTTACTGCTGCAGATACTGCTACTGTTGCTGGGTGCGTTGTTGCTGTTGACGTTGATGTTGTTGTCGCTGACTCAACAGGTACATCATCGGCCATAGAAGCCGTGGATGTGGGCGTGCTGTTAAGCGAGGAAGTATTGACAGTCATACTGGTGCCGCTGCCGCTGACGTTGGTGCTGCTGGCGTAGGAAGCATTAAAGGATTCTTCACTTGCACTGATCCCGCTGCAATTGAGCTCATCAATACCGCTGCCGGAAGTTGCTGCTGCTTTTACAGATGGTGTTGCGATTGTTGTTGTTGCTGGTGGAATGTCTATTGTGTGGGACTCGTTACCGAAAATCAGGCGCAGTCTTTTTTTTTGCGGAGTGCCATAGATGCTGTTGCTGCTTATGAGAGGCATTGCTGGTGCTGGCGGCGGGGATGATGTTGCAGTTATTAAGGCGCTGCGTCGACTACGCCGCGTTTTTTCTTTACAGCGCCGCCACTCTGTGGCATCGCTTTCGCTTTCAACTGCAGGTGCTTGCTCCATTTCTACTTGCTCCTCTTCGCGCTCTTCTTCCTCCACTTCTAGCTCCTCGTCGTCCTGTTCTTCATCCTCCTCGTCATCATCATCGTCGTCGTCCTCCTCCTCCTCCCCCTCCTCATCTTCGTCATCATCATCATCGTTGCCATGCTCTGATATGCCCTCCATGCGTAAGATCTCATATTCAATGCCAGTGCTGCTGCTACTACTGCTGGCATTGTGGGAGGCATTGATACCATTTTTGCTGCTTGCACCGCCGCCAGCAGTTGTTACACTGTTGCCGTGCGCACTTGCTCTGTTGCCGCTGTTGGTGCCATTGTGCAGTGCATGTTGACGCTCCTCGCTGAGGCTGGTTCCCAGTTCAAATACTTCATCCAGTATGGGCGAACGCTTCATGCGCAATGTTAGCTTCAGCCGTCGTGCGGGCGTTTTAAGCAGCGGCTCCACAGCGCTGCTGCTTATTTTTGCTAATGCTGCCGCTGTTGTTGCCGTTATTGTTGCTGCTCCTGCTGCTGGCTGCTGTTGTTGTTGTCTCTTGCGTTGCTGCACGTTACCAACGGCTTCGCAATGTATATGCTGTGCAGCTACAAGCGCTGCGGCGCGTCTACTGCGCTTCTGCTTGCCCGGCTGCTCCGCAGCAAAATCGGCTGTTGCAACTGCTGATGGTGCTGCTGCTATTGCTGCTGTTGTTGCTGTTGTTGCCTGACGCTTTGTTGCATGCTCAAAAGTGGACATGAGGTTCTTTCGTGCTGCCGCTGCTGCTGCCGTTGCCTGTAGCTGCTGCTGTTGATGTTGTTGCTGCTGTTGGTCGCCCGCCGAGCAGTAAGACGACGAGGGCGTCGGCGTGCATTGCGCAATGTTTGATAACGTTAACGTTGTTGCTATCGATGCCGTCGTCGCCGTTGCCGTCGCTGCTGCTGTTGGCTCGCTCGGCTTTTGCTTGCGATCACTATATCTACCGCTAACATTATTTCTACAGCTATTACTACTATTTAAATTATTACAATTTGTAATCGTTGTTTTAAAGTTGCTGCTGCTACTGCTGCTGTTAATGTTGTTGTTGCTGTTGTTGCTGCTGCTGTTGTTGAGGGCAGTTATTGTTGCTGTGTTTGTTGCCATTGCTATTGCGGCTGCGCGTCCAGCGCTATTGCGCGTTACACGCTTCTCCATTGACGAAGACGGCGCTGCTGTTGGCATTGCTGTTGCTGCCTCAGCTGCTGCCTCGCTGCACACATAAACCTTGTGGGGTTGCTGCTGCTGGTGCTGTTGTAGCTGCTGCTGAAAATCCGTGTCGCTGCTCTCACTATCCGTTAGATATTTTCCAAGCAGCTGTGTGCTGTCCGAGCCGGTGCTTTCATTCATCTTTTGACGATGCGTTTGGCGCTCGCTTCGTCGAAGGTGTCGCTGTTGCTGGCGTTGTTGCTGCTGCTGTTGTTTTTGCAGCTGTTGTTGTTGTTGCTGCTGCTGTTGGTGCTGCTTATGTTGATGTTGCTGCTGCTGTTGGAGAACTGCTGCAAGAGCTGCCGCTGGCTTGTAGCGTGGAATCAGCACCACTGGCGCTTTGCCGATGGTTGCAACTGTTGCTGGTACTGTTGCAACGGCTGGCGGCGCTGCAACTGTTGCTGGTGCTATTGTGCTGCTGGTGCCATAACTGGCCAGCGGTTCATCAGTGGATGCTGTGGAAATGCTGCTGCTCGTGCTGTTCACACGCATCGATTTGCGCAGCGTGATAACAGCGCGTCCATTACTCAATTCAGCGGCTGCCTGTGGCTTCTGCATGGCCGTCGCTTGACTGGCCTCCACATGTTGCTGCTGCACATGGGTTGCGGCTGCGGCAGCGGCAGCGGCTGCTGATGCTGTTGTGTGTGGCAGGTGTGGGTGAAACTGATGGTGTTGCTGCTGCTGCTGCTGTTGATGGTAGGCCGCATTGGCCATTATCATTTCGGCATCGTATTTGGTCATGCCCTTCTGGCGCAGTGCCTTCATTGTCAACGGCGAGACAACCACAATGGGCACTTTATTCCTGTCCACCAAAGCGACAGCATTCAGCTCCATGCTGCTGCTCTTGGGCCGCACCACAGCTGACGGTTGCGTAGTTAAGCCATTGCTGTTGCTGTTGGCATTGCTGCTGTCGTTGCTGTTGCTATTGGAGGTGCTGTTCGTGCTGTTGGCGCGACTCTTGATCCGATTAATGCGATTGTCTGTCTCGCGCAGTCGATAGCCACCGCCATTGGCGCCGCCGGCAGCGCCCAGGCCGAGACCCAAGCCCAATCCATTGGTCAGGCCTAGTGTCGTTTCGTTTATGTGGTTTGCTGCGTTTTTCCCAGCAAATGCCCCAGTTCCGCGCCGCTCGCACGTCTCGCACTCACAATACCGATTGCTATCCCCAAAGAAATCCTCGCCATAGAAACAGGTTATCTCCTCGCCAACCTCAATGTCTCGCAGCACTTTCACACAGGCCGTGTCACGGCCGGTGGCAAGGAATTTGCAATTGGCGCGACAATCGTGATTAATGTAGGCAGCGGGTCCCAGCCAGAGTTGTGCGCAATTCTTTCGACAGCTATACATCACAGAGAAATCATTTTTGCCCGAATGCAGCAGCGCCGTTTCTTCCGCTTCAGTCAGTTCCGCAATGCACCCAACCAGACATTCGATTTTCTCGTTTTTCGACCAGCGTTTCGTCGAGCTGATCTTGGCGCCCCGCTGCTCCTCCAAAGAATAACGATAGCATGCCTCAATTGCAAAGCCGCTGTCCTTGTCAAAGACACGCAAATATCGCACAATCTAATCAGCATGGATAAAAAGAGTTGCTCTTGTTAGTCGATGAATTTATGATAGAACGCAATCAGCTTAAAGATGTTGATATATTGATAATAAAAACTGCTTGGATATTACTTTTTTCACGAGAAGAATAGCGATCACTGTGTATATTAGCTATTGGAAATCGTTATCGGTTCGGTGTTGTTCTTTTTTGTATTTTTTTCTTCGAAATATCAACATCTTTAGAAGACAAATTTCTTGACTAACTACTTACGTGGTCGTGCAGCCGCTTGGTGGCGATTTTGTTCTTAGTTTTGAGATGGCGGGGAATCCAGGGGCCATCGTATATGCACTGTGTGGCAACATCGTAGTTTTGCGTCTGAATGAAATCATCGACGATCGCCTTCAGCTGCTGGATGCCCACTTTGTGCGGCCTAAAGCGTATGTTCATTTTGTGCGTCTGAAAGCCCAGGTGCGGGTCAAGTATCAGCGATGTGGCTAGATCATCGTTCTCTGAGAGCTCACGCGGCGACATGCCCGTTGATTGCGATAAACGACTAACGGCGCTGCCGTTGCACCCGTTAAGGCTACCAGCAACACTCCCACTCCCAGCCCCACCACCACCAGCTCCACCGCCATGCGATGATGATGAAGATGAAGATGATGAGGAAGATGATGCTGATGCTGTTAATGATGATGCCGGCGTTGATGTGGAGCTGTGGTGTGTCGTGCTCTGCTGCTGCGACTGATAATGATGCTGATGATGATTATGATGATGATGCTGCTGCTGATGATGATGATGTGAGTTGCCGCTGCTGCTGTTTACGTTGTTGTTGTTGCTGCTGCTAAGAGTAGAGTTTTGGATTTTGGTGTTGTTGTTATTATGCGCCATTGACGACGGCAACGTCGTCGTCGTCGCCGCCGCCGCCGTCGTTGAGGATGCGGTTGCAATTGAAGACGTTGCGCTGGTGGAGTTGACGGTGGTGGTGGTGGTGCTGCTGCTGCTGCTATTTGTGTTGGTACTGCCGCTGTTTGTAAATCTGCTGGCAGTCTCACTACGCCGCGTATGATTTGATCCGACAACCATTCTGGATGTGTTTGCAGTCTGTAACACGCAGAGCGAAAAATAAGTACAACATATTTCGATTAGTGATAAGCATCAATGGGTATATAGGGCTTACACCTACATTTTATTAAATTCAATTGTCGTGTCTTTCGCTCTTACTTTCCGGCATTTAATATAAACAAAATTTTCGATTTTGGTTTGTTTTTCAGCATTAACAACAATATTTCCTTGCGGGTATTCTAAATTGGTGTTCAGGTCTGCAACGCCTGTCGCCGACATACATGGCATACATGTCACCGTTTCTTTTACAATATAACTATATAAAGAGGAAATATTTTCTTAATTTTTAACTTTTTAATAAAGCGGAAAACAAATATTTATTTAACTAATTCGAAATGCGAACATAAATTAAGCTGTCGGCAAATTAACTCTGGGGTAAAAGGGTATGTGTATCTTCGGCGATGAATGTAATTTCTTGTTTGAAGATATGGCAACTTGCTTATGTTGGAAGTGAGAGTGAAAAAGACGGAAAGAGTGAAAGTGTATGCTACCGCTTAGCCGCAGTTGACCCCTTATTGTGGTTTGGGATGCATCCACATACAAATTTGGCTTAATGCATGTCATGGTCGTGCACAAGACCAAGTTACAACTGCTTTGCCCTGCTTACAATTTGAAAAAAAAAAATAAAATAAAATAAGACGTTCGTGGTTTTATAATGAAAAACAAAAGAAAAAAACGAGATGGCAACACTTCCAGGCACAGAATATTCGCACACACTCGAATTCACTGAAAAGCTCTCAGAAGCAAAAGTTGTTTCTGCTGACGCCGCTGATAAATGATAAGCGTACACAATTTGTGAGCCAAAGCGATTCAAGCAATGCGACTAACGATGCACAAAGAAAAATAATTAAATACAAAATAAAATAGAGAAAAAAACGATGCCAATCACATATGCAACAGTTTTTGAGTAAGTAATAAATGCAATTGGCACATTCAATTTGATTTGAAAATTATTTTATGGCTTCGCCCTGCTTCATTTTGGGTGGGTGGGTTTGGTAGGAAGAGGAAAAGATGCGAGGTCGATAGACGGCACGCGTTCGCTCTGCCTCTCTCTGTCTCGCTGACCACTCTCTTTGCACTCACTCATACACGTGCAAAGCAAAAAATCAATTAACATGAAGCACATGTGCAATAAAAAAGAGTTATTTACTTTTGTTAAAAAAAAAAAAACTTATTTTTGGGTTAATTTTACACAGCACGCACACTCATACAAACAAACTTACAAAGCCAATAAGCTAAAATTGTACAGCGGCTAGCGGCTTTGTTGTATTGCTGACTGTCTACGGTTTCAATAATTGCAAACATTATATATACATATATATATATTCACACATACATGCGTGTGTATGTGTGGATGTATGTATATACTATATACATATGTATTTTATGGGTGGCCAAAAGCTGCATCAGCTCTCAGCTGTTTTCAAGACGGCCAGACATATGCATTCGAATGAGTGCGAGAGCGAGAGCAACTATGCACTCATGCGCACTACAGACTCCAAATAAATGAGAGTGACCTGCGCAAGGTTGCCACTCTTGAAAATTACTATTCGATAAATTAGCTAACATTTTCTTTTTGTTTATATTTCGAAACTCCACTTAAATGCATAAAAAGTCGCTTTGTTTTACAATTCCCCTTAAGGGAGAGAGAGAAAAAAAAGTTCGACTTGTGGCAGCGCCATACATGCACAAACACACACACACAGACACACACACACATTCAACTAAAAATGTCAACAAAGAAAAAGGCTGCAGGGTTGTCGAATATTTTATAACAAACATCACAAATTTTTGATCGCAAATAGCAAACAGCAATTCCAACATATTCTTGCAGCTTTTTCTTAAGCTAAATTATGAGCTAAATGCGCAACCAAATACAGCCAAATTAAGCGACTTGTGAGCTATAGAAAATACTCGTTTTGGTTTTAATGCGCACATTGCCAACCCTAGGTCCAGGTTTTTTTTTTTCTTTTTTCAGCTTGTTACATGGATCACACGGAAAATGGCGGCGCCTATTACACATATACACATGTAGACATATACATGTATCGACATATGTATGTATGAATACATGTATGTACCTTTAATAATATTCACTGAAGTGATGCTGCTGTTTCTGCTTCTTTCGACCCTAGACGATGCCGCTTTGTCTGTTGCTTCGAAAACTCTTGTTTTTTGTTCAATTCTTCGTCTTTAACGTCGTCCTGCGGCAGAGTCACCAGTGCTTATAGACGGATACGGGGCTTGTGTTCGGTGCGGGGCGGCTTTTTCGAATCCAAATATCACAGTTGTAGCCGTAGTAGGACACCATCCGCAGTTTGGAATTGCTGCTGTAGTTGTCGCCGTCCACTGTGCCAGTTCATTTTTACAGTTTTCTTTCAATGCTCGAACGCCGACGTTCTTTCCCCACCTCTCCTCTCGTTGGAGTCAGACTCTGACAGTAGCTAACGCACGCACACACACAAGCAAGCAAGCAAGCACACACACACACACACGCACGCACATACAACCGCAAAACACTAGCGGACACTCATACATGCATATGCATATGTAGATACATATATTCCTTCGCAACGACGTGCGTGCGTATGTATGCATGTAAGTTGTCTGTGTGTGTGTGCCTTCTTTTTCTGCTACTTTGCATGAGCGCGACGTCTCATATGCGTTCTCATGCTTCTAATTCTTAAGATTCTTCTTCTACGTTAGAAAATATATATTTAAAAAAAATAGCTGTGTTACGGTTGAAGAAAAAAACACGCACGCGAGTTACGAATATTTTTAATGTACTTTTCCGCGTTACAGTTCTCCGCGATTCCGTTTTTTCGCATTTTATGTAGCGATTTGTGTGACCGTCAGTCACAAATGTGAAAATACCATACCGAATGTAAATAAAAATACTGAAATTATTTTATGTTAACATTAATACATGCAATATTACCAATGTGCGAAACATACATTTCGTGCGCTTGCAAAAAATGGATTACAAATGTATTTTTAGAAAAGGTCAAAGCAGTTTAATGGAATAGTTTTGCCAACTTACTCCGTTAACATGCCCATGTTAACAGTGCGGCTTCATGTAGTAGTGAATATCGAATATAAAATACACTAAATATGGCCAAAGTACAAAATAACTGTTGTCGGTGTTTATTTACACATCCGCAAGAAATTGTTTTGAATGTTTACGTTTGCACCTGGTGCAACTGTCGTCAATTAAGTGTATCCAGTCGCCAGACGCGACTTCTCCTTGAATATCAGATGCATAATGCGGCTCTGTCAGTTTTTAGTTGCCGCCTGCTGCATCCACGTGCTGATTGCAAGTAATCATTGGGTGGTAAAGGATGAGCGCATTATACAGAAACTCGACTCGCCGTTTTTTATGCGGGAGCCGCACAACCTGATTGCATTCCTCGAGCAGATCCGCTACAATGAGTACGTGGAGAGCAGCTATTTGGAACTGCTGCGCAAGCGGGAGCAGATCGTCGAGCATTTACGCTTTTCGATGCGATTTGGCGAAGATCTTGCCGAGCAGGCCAAATGCGCCATGGACTACTATTTGCTCGAGAAGCGAATGTCCTACCTGAAAATCACTCCAGATCAGTTGAAGCGCATCAATCTACCGGAGCAGCGAGAACTGCAGCGGACCGCAATCAATACAAAAATCGAACGTGCTTTGGAGCCGATATGCAACAATTACCATGAGCTGAGTGTTGGCCCAGCCACATACGATCATCTGGAGAGTTTTCGACAGGAGGTGCTAGACTCGGCGTATGTGGAGCGCGAGTATGACAGCAACATTGGCACCGCCACTGTCGAGCTGACCCGTCGCTTTGCTTTGGAGGGACTCCAGCGGCAGCCCGATTCGTGGAAGTTTCACACGTTGAGCTCGTACTATTGGCGCATGCGCGGCAATGCGCTCCAGGCGTTGCCTTGTGCCCGTCTGGCTACCATGCTGGCGCCGCCGGAGCACAAGGATATTGCGCTGCTCAGCCTGGGCACAATACTGTTTCGGATGGGCCGGCTGGCCGATGCCGATCTAATACTGAGCGCTGCCGTGGAGCATGCACCGAAAGTGGCCGAAAATCATGTTGTACTCGCGTCGGCATTGGCCATGAAGCACGATTTCAATCGTTCGCAACAGCATTTCGATATGGCGGAGCGTCTGGATCCCAGCACACTGCCACGGACGCAACAGGTGCGCAATTTCATCACTTGTTTGGAGAACCTCACCAAGAAGACGTCCAAGATGTATAGCTATGTGAAGTACATGAAGAACGAGGTGAAGGAGTTCAAGAAACTGAAATATCATATATCTCAGAATCACGAGAGACTTATACAGCAGCAGTTGCCGCTGGGAGCGCGTCGGTTTCTGGACTCCCGGGCCAACAATGATGATCTGCATCGACGCGGACAATACTGCAGTACACGCACCCCCAACGGATCCGATGAGCCAGTGCTCTTCTGTGACTTCTACTCGGACATGCAAATGCGGCTCGAAAGCAAAGATATCGATATCGATGTCCTTGAGCGCGATCTGATGGCAAATACGGAGAGCGTCATCCGACAGGTGTCTACGGAAATACGAAAGCAGTTCAATTTAGAGCAGCTGAAGGCGGCCAAGGCTCAGATGCCGGCAAAGGCCACAAAATCTACGTAAGGATTCATTTGCTACAATTCAAAGGCATTCCTCACATTTCGGTCACAGATTAGCTTTTAAAATGGTTATTAATTTGTACATTACTTAATTTGTAAGATGCAAATATTTTTTTTTGTATGTATATATGCTATATATAAGTAGCTATTGTTAATGCTAGGGTATATATATGTATAACTGTATAGCTTAGGCAGGTAGCATGCCATCCACTCTCTCCACTTGTCGCAAAAGATTAGTTTTTAAAACTTGTGTCGCATTCGTAAACGTTTCACTGGCCATCATTGCCTTTTAAATCTGCCAGGAGTATAGTTTTTCTTCACATTCTTATTTAGTTTGTAATACACACGAAAATTTCCCTGAAATCAACGTATCCAACACAAATATAGTTTACTTTTGCAACAAGATACACTCATCTTACATACATATTCCAAAGATATACTCAAGTATAACAAATGGGATTCGATTTTAATTCCCAAGCGATTGCAGTATACGTAAAATAATCACATTCAAATTTCTGTAAGACGAGGACAACGAAAAAATGCATAATCTTAACAATTAACAATTCATTAATATCTATTAGTGAGATTGACTAACACAAATATTATAAAAGAAATAAAACATATATTCTTATATTCAAATTGATATGCATTTTGCCCGTCAGCACCTTCACCAGGTAATCTTCTGCGTTTCGAGCGCCTGCAGCATTTCGGCTAGACTTGTAAACGAGTGGTTGGCCGCTTCGGGCGCAGATTCTGGTTGAGTGAGCACCAGGAGACTGCTCCAACCGCTATTCCGCGCACCCATATAGTCTATGTCGAACTTGTTGCCAATGTGGAGCGCTTGTGCTGGCGCAATCGGCCGATTGCCTATAGCTGCCTTAAATATGCCGGGATCCGGTTTCATAACACCGGCTTCGTAAGAGCTCAGAATAAAGTCGAATTTGTCGGCCAAGCCCATGGCGCTCAGCACCTGCGGCAGCGACGGATCAAAATTGGATATAACGCCCACACACTTGCCGGCATCTCGGACGCGCTGCACTAAATCCAAGGCGCCGTCGATGTGTGACCAGCAAGCACTAGTTTGGAATATGGCCAACAACTGCTCGGTAATTGTTTGCAGCTTGGTATTGGGTATGCTGGCATCCACACAGTTAAACGTATTCACCACCAGCTGTGACCACCACGATTGCCAGTTCATGTTGGGGGAACAGAGGCCGAAATTCGAATGCTCGTTGCTCATCAATTTGAATTGTTGATGGAAGCATCGCTTCAGTTGAACATTGTCCGTGATAGATACGCCGCATGCCGCTGCCGTTAGAGCATATTGGGCGATGGGATCTTTAAGCCGGAGGAGCGTGTCCGTTACGTCAAAGGTAACGAGCCGAAAGCGCTGTATATTGCGCACAAATTGTGCGGGCAACGACATTACGACACACAACACAGCACAACAGCTCCAATTATAGGTTGTGTATAACAGTCATTTTAAATTTGTGACGTCGTTATTCATATAATATAGACATATTGTATCTTTTGCCTTTTTGTTTCAATTTTTTTCTTTAGTTCTCTATTTTTTCTGTTAGAAAAATTTCGCCTTGCTTGGATTACTTTTAAAATTAAAGTTAAAGTGTTAAGTTTATTTATTCAATTTAAATATTTATATAATTTTTGCTTGCATTACCTGCAAACAGCATACAGTGCTCAAAGTGGTTTGTTCCCGCTTCAGTATAATATTAATACCGCTTAAGCATTTAGTTAGAGTATTTCTGCACATGTAAAAGCTGGTCACACTTTTTATAAAACTGCAATATCATTAGACGGCTTCGCTAATTTGATCAAAAATTGTATGTTTATAAAGAATTGAAACATTGCACAAAATCAGATAAAATGACCGGGACTAATGTATCATCGACGGAGAGTATACGCGAGAAGGCGCTATCCGACTATAGAAAGAAATTGCTGGAGCACAAAGAGGTTGAGGGCCGACTCAAAGAAAGTGGGTACTCTAAGCGTTAATTGAGCGTTCGTTTTAACAACATAAAACAATTCATTCACAGAACGTGAGGAACTCAAGGAGCTGACCAAACTGTATGACAAATCAGAGAATGATTTAAAAGCCTTGCAGAGCGTCGGACAAATTGTCGGCGAGGTTCTGAAACAACTGACTGAGGATAAGTGTAAGCATGAAGCAAACTCTGTCGCACTGAAAATATTAATCGAAACTTTTTTTTTGCAGTCATTGTTAAGGCAACTAATGGACCCAGATATGTGGTCGGTTGCCGTCGTCAGCTGGACAAGGCTAAGTTGAAGTCTGGCACGCGAGTCGCTCTCGACATGACAACGTTGACGATTATGCGCTATTTGCCACGCGAAGTTGATCCGCTTGTGTACAACATGTCGCACGAGGATCCGGGCGATGTAACCTACTCGGCCATTGGTGGCTTAACGGAGCAGATTCGCGAGCTGCGCGAAGTCATCGAACTGCCGTTGCTTAATCCGGAGCTCTTCTTGCGCGTTGGCATCACACCACCCAAGGGTTGTCTGCTCTATGGACCGCCTGGCACTGGCAAGACACTGTTAGCCCGCGCAGTCGCCTCTCAGCTGGACGCGAATTTCCTCAAAGTGGTGTCCTCGGCAATTGTGGACAAGTATATCGGGGAGAGTGCACGTTTGATACGTGAAATGTTTAATTATGCTCGTGATCACCAGCCCTGCATTATATTTATGGATGAAATCGATGCGATTGGTGGCCGTCGCTTCTCCGAGGGCACATCGGCAGATCGTGAGATTCAGCGTACTCTAATGGAGCTGCTCAATCAAATGGATGGCTTTGATTCATTGGGACAAGTCAAAATGATTATGGCCACCAATCGTCCAGATACACTAGATCCTGCCCTTCTGCGTCCCGGTCGCTTGGATCGTAAAATCGAAATTCCATTGCCTAATGAACAGGCTCGGTAAGTTAGGAATGAATGAGCGAAATCTGTACATAATTACAGATTATAATCGAGATATTTCGTTTTAGTTTGGAGATTCTGAAGATTCATGCATTAAAGATTGCTAAGCACGGCGAAATAGACTATGAAGCCATTGTCAAATTGTCGGACAATTTCAACGGCGCCGATCTGCGCAACGTCTGCACAGAGGCGGGCCTCTTTGCCATCAGGTAAGCAAGCTGCTGACTTAAGGCCACTTCTCAGGTTAAGTCCTAACCATAAATCACCTTTGCAGGGCTGAACGTGAATATGTTATTCAGGAGGACTTTATGAAGGCCGTGCGCAAAGTGTCGGACAATAAGAAGCTGGAAAGCAAATTGGATTATAAGCCAGTTTAATTTCATTGCTAATATAATTTAAAACAAGTAAATACGAATTACATGTATTATATATATACAGATCTGAGTTTCCTCCAATTGCTGAATTTTTTGGACTAATTATTTGGTAAAATGTGACTGAAAAGGGATGAGAACTATACAAAAAATTTGGTTTTACTTGTTAAAATCTGTAGTTCAATATCATATATAATTCCATGGGAACATTTACCTTAGGATTAGTTAAAATTTAGTACGCAAAGGATTACACCTGTTGTGGTTTTTTTTTTTGGTAATTGTACAGTTTATTAATATTTTGGAAATCTTTCGTTTTGTGCTTTATGAGTTTTGTTGTGCTACGGAATAAACAGAAACGGCGAATTTCGCGTTGCCTCGCTTAACATTTAACATATATATTACACATAAATTCTTAGATTAAGACAAATACGATGCGGAGCTGCATTACTTTTGCTGCTGACCTTCGATGCGACGTTTCTTGCGTTCCATGTAGTCGCTGACGTTGTCGTAGCGCTTCTTAAACCACACAGACAAATCCTCGGGGACGCAGGTCTGGTCGGAAAAGCTGCCGGTGACCATGTCCAACCAACCCGCCGGCACCGTCTTGGCCTGCTCGCCATCGCTGGCGTTGTAGACGCGCAATGCTAAGTGCTCGTTTACAGCACCTGCCACGTAGATCATATCGCTGGTTAGCGCAAAATTGCTTATGTTCCAGCTGCCAGCCTCGGCGCGCACTAGCTGCTCGCAGGCAACTGTCCAGATGTTGTTTGTTTGCTCCAGTTCGTACAGTCCAATGGCTTCGATGTGATCATAGAACTGGACAGCTGCTTGATATCGCTTGGCTGGCAGCAGTTCGCGCATATGTAGCCGCACAGCTGGTGCGGGCAGGTCATGATGCAGCAGCTCCATGCCGGATAGGTAATTCCACAGACGTAACGTCTTGTCGCCGGAGACGGACAACAGGTGCTCTTCGGTGAGCAACGCCAGGCCTGAGACGAACTCCTTGTGGCCCAAACAATAGCTGTGTATGTCAAATGTGGCCGGATAATTCGTTACCCGTATTTTGTCATCCCGATCGGACGTGATAATGTGTTTTTGATCCGGTGTCCACAGGATGTCATAAACGATGCTCAGGTGGCCCAGCAGTAGCCGTGGCAATGCGTTAACCTCCACACAGTCATACTGATAGCAATCGCCAGTCTTGTCCGTGACCAGCACAGAGCTAGAGTCAGCGGCGAAGGTCATTGCGCTCGAGGCACGAGCCAAGGCGCGCACCGACAGCAATTTCGCGTGCTCTGGTCGACTCTTGTAGAGGAGCAGCGCCTTTTGCCCGGCTGTGGTTAGTGCGATCAGTTGTCGGTCGGGCGAGTAGCAGACATTTAGTATGGCCACCTCCACTTTGCCGCCATCAGTTCCCTTTCCCTCGCTTGTCGACTGCTGTTCCTCAGATATTTCGGGGGCTGTAATTTTGAGTCCACATGATGTGAGGTCAGCGGGCAATTCGATGTCCTTAAAGATTTGCAAGTCATTTGGATTGAGAAATAGCACTTTGCGACCGTACGCAATGACTAGTTCGGGTTCCGCGTAAAAGATTGTTGTCATATTTGAGTCACTAATGGGTGATAGGTGTCTATTCCATGTGGGAGATGTACAATATGTGCTTAACAGTGACTAAGTCATTCATAAATATCAAGTCGCAGTTACATTGCTCCAGATGGCAACGCCGAGTTGTGATTTGCATATATTAACACTTTAAAATGAGCACTAGTCCCAAACTTCGCAGCTGTGACACACGAAAATTTACCCTTGGGTATGTATACATGAATTCTCGCAGCTGTCACATGTTGCACATGTGTCTGGTGTTTTCCAGCACTGTGCACATTCCGTATTTTTCGTGTAATAAACTTTGGTTACTCTGACTACGTTGTAAATGTTGACCGTTGTCTTTGAAATTAAGTTATTTGTTGATCAATTTGATGGCAGTATATTAACTAGAACATCGTAAAGCCTAATTAAAAGTTAATGTAAAAGATACGAGGATCAAAGGCAATGAATAAATAAAAGCTATATTTAAAACAAAACACACACATATTTTCTAAGTCACATGAGAATTGTTTTATTTCCTAAGAATCACACTATATAATAATAAAAAAAAAAAATAAAAAAATGTTATGAAATGTACAAAATACGGGCATGCCCGGTAAACTGGACTCAATGTGTTACGTACTTATACCGATTATTGACTCAATTGAGAAACTCAGCTTGGGCTTATTGGCGCTGGGCGTTGGCGTGGGCATGTGTGTAAAGAGCGGCGTTGATTGATATGCATGCTGCTGATGTTGTTGATGTTGTTGTTGGTGTTGTGCAACAGCTGCTGCTGTAGCAGCGGCGGATGCGGCGGCACTGCCCAATAGATCATAAAAGGCGTTGCCAATTGTTGTTGGCGGCGTTGCCAAAGGAGCTGATGTGCCGCCACAGGCGGAGCTGCCAAGTAGCGTTGTATCCATTGCAAAGTTCAGTTCCGGGTCAGCGAACGCGCGTCGCTTGCGCATGCGTTCCAGCAGCGGTGAGTTGAACGTGGGAAAACGCTGCTTGTACTCTGCAAGTGCACATAACAAAATGGGCAGGACATTATAATTAAAGTTACACACTATGACTTTGGGGGCGAGAGCTCTTTGATCTTGACGTTGGCGTTGGCGTTGGTGTTGGCGTCAAATCTATTGCTACAAATTGCTTTCAAATTGTCTCAATTCGTTCAACGTATTTGAGCATGCATGTGTATGTGTGGCTGTGTGTGTGTGTGTAATGCATGTGGCATATGGAAATTGAGGCGTAATTTGAGCTGCACACAGATCGTAGACTCAAACGACCAGAACCAGACAGAACGGCACCAAATTGTCTACGTGATTTTCTCGTTTACTTGGAAACCAGATGGAAATATTTGAAAAGTAGATTTTTATCTCCCGCTCAGTTTTTGTTGTTGTTGTTGTTTTCGTTGCCCCGTTGACTTTTGCCACATTTGCGTCTTCAAGAGGTTTTTCCGTTTTCATGTATCGATTTACACATTGAAAATTGGGTTCTGGGATTGGACATAACGAGCAATATGCCTGCATACGACTAGCTTCCAATTTCAGTGTGTGTGTGTGTGTGTGGGGGGGTGGGGGGGGGGTGACTTGCCAACAAATTTGTTGTTCGTCATATTGTTAATGGGATTGTTATTGCTATTCCTATTGCTGTTGCTATTGCTGTTGCTGTTGCTGTTGTTGTTGCTGTTGTTGTTGCTATCTTTGTTGCTTTTGTAAGGAATCTGGCATTTCCTGTCGCTAGGCCATCTCCCTCCCACTCGCAGCAATTGCCCATATTACGGGGCTTGCCAGACAGTCTGGCACCGCCTGCGCGGCGAGGGCTGCACACTCACCTTCCATGGCTGCGGTGATATGCAGTGTGGACTGCTGCAGGTTGCGCAGCCGCTGCTTGTAGATGCGCTTCTGGGTAATCAAGGCCTGGCGCGTGCGCAGCGTGTTGGCCGCCATGGAGGAGCAGCATTTAGTGGGCGCTGTCAAGGTGGTGGACGGCAGCTCCTCATCGCTGTGTGGCTCAGCTCCGCTTGACGCCTCATTGCTGCCGGTGGCGGTGGCGGTGGCGGTGCCGGTGCTGGCCTCCAGTGCCTCCATAGTTTGCTGGCGTCGCAGCGCCACCTGAGCGGCCATCACACGCTGGCGATCGACAACCAGCTGACAATTGGGGCAGCAGCATTCGCGCCAGCGGCACAACTTCTTGTGACCCTTGACGCACGAGATGACACCATGGTTACGACAGCGGGCACACTTGGGCGTGCGGAGCAGCCGACGCTCCTTGGAGCTTATCACGTTCACGTTCACGTTCACCGGCAGGCTACACTGCATTGCGTTGCTGTTGTTGTTTTCGTAGACTGTTTGGTGGCACAGATCGTATCGGTAGCACTGACAGCTATCAACTGAAAGGATCACGCGCTCGTTCCACACATTTAAATGTGCTGGACGAGGAGTTGGGCAGTCACTCGAGTGGTTTGCTACTTCCCAGACAGTCTGGCAGCGACTCGACGTCAAGTGGTCTGGTCTAGGTCTGGGTCTGGGTCTGGGTCTACCCAAGATCCCGCTGCGTCTGCTGCGCCCGTTGCGTCTGGTGTGCTGCCCGCCTATTGGCTGCTAATCGCTGCAACTAAAAATAGACGGCCCAATGGCAGCACAGCTGGCTGGCATCAACCAAATCGAAATTAGAAATTCGATTGAAAACCGCACAAAGATACAAATGTATCTCTATATCTATACATCTGTCCATTTGTATTATTTCTTGCGTACGTTGCTGTGTCTATATATTTGTGTGTGTGTATGTGTGTGTGTGTCCTCAAAAGTATCAATTTTAATTGCTTTGTTTTGTTCTGTTCCGTTCAAAATTTATATTTTTTTTTACCCTGTGCAGCTCAAATGGTTAACAAGGGGTATCCATAAAGTTGTTGAATCATCAATGACGCATAGTAATTTTTTAATTTTTTCATTGTTTTTGTTTAGTGAACACTATTTTTCTGAACTCGTTGAAGTCCTTTTATCTCGATTGGAATATTTCCCGAATGCTTTCCCATTCAGATCAAAGAAATGTATATATTTCTTCTGAAGTCTGTTTAGACTATGTAGTGAGATATGAAGATACAAACAGCATTATAATTATTTGTCGATAATTTATAAATATTTCTACTCACTTTGCAAATATGTACAAGTCCAAAACTATGTACACAATATCATTCAGTCGAGCAGGCACATTCCTCAGAGAGTTTCTTCGATATTTGAAGCTGTTTTGATTTTGTTCCTTTGTGGTTTTATTCAATTTGATTTTTATTTGTATAACAATTTGTAGCATTTGCATATATAATTTACATTCATTCTATATATATACATATATATATCGTATATATGTAATATAAGTATGTATGTGTATCTTTAAATGTATATTTAGTACTTATGTATGTATGTATGTAAATACAAATTTAACACGACAAATTAAATTAAACTAAGTTTTCAACAATTTTTGGTTTTTGATTTTAATATTATTTTGTTTCGTTCCATGTTTTTTTTTGTCCGCTATTAATTATTATTAAATACTAAAGTACAAAACAGATATTCATAATATGCATTTTATAAGCGCCTGATGCAAATATGAGTTCCTTTTTTTATATATAAAGTGTAAGCCTAACCAGAGTTTTCGCTTTAAATGTGAGGTTTAATTTTGATTTTTATATTTGTGTATTCAATTGGAATATTAAAGCTGATAAAGGTTGTGTGCCAGGTTTTGGATTTGTTGGTCATTTATAGTTATTTGCTTTCAGTTTTAGATTATGCATAGTTATAGATCATAGAAAGGTATACCCATATCAATGTATACTCGATAAGTAAGTAGCTCTCCAGCGTGCAGTGCAATTAGATAGTTGGGGAAATTTCAGAAAGTTTTGTGGCTTTATTTGTGTTAAAGATAATGAAAGAGTGATTTGATAAATGATGCTCTTTAAATGCTTGCAAAGTTATTGTCTTTTGCTTTTACTTGTGTTTGTCTTCATATGTAGTCGAAAAACGAACTGGAACACAATGATCGATCGCATCGATCGGAAGAAGGAGTATTTCAATTATTGTTTCTATTATTTCTTATGCCCACTGAACACGCGGCTCTTTAAACTCTAAACTTTCCAATTTGCTACGTCTGTTAAGCTTTGAAGTAAATACTTGCTAGCTCCAAATAAATACAAATTAAAATACGATTACAAATACAAATACAAATACGAATACAAATACATATATAAGTTTATATATGCATGTAGTATAGTTAACTACATCTGAATAAATACATATCACATTGCTCAAAACGGGTCTCTCTCCACATGCAATTGGATTTTGAACCTTCTTTTTAATTATATTTGTTGTTTTCTTAATCCATTTCAATTTCATTTTTAAATATCTTAACAATCATGATTGCTAGAAAACATTCTATCTATTTACCACTCGCAGCTTAACTTAACTGCTTATCAATTGTTTTTTCTAGTAAACTCTACAGTGGGCTCCATAAATAATGTAACTTCGATTGTTGTAGACGTACTGAGGAGATTGGGCGACATCCCTGCAATTCTTCTGCTGCATGAAGCCTTTACTTCTTTCACTCATTCACATTGGTTTTAAACTCTTAAACCCTTGCAGAATGTTGTAAATAAGTTGTGACTCTGTACGCTTTAAGGGTTCTATATTTTGCTGATCCGAATGTCGAGTTGTACCTCGGAGAACTCGACTAAATTTACAAATTTCGATCAATTTATATTTGAATCACTATGAAAACAATTTGCTCAACGCTCCTGCAAAGGTTTGCCTCACTTTCCAATTTGAACTTACTTTGGACAAGACTTAGCTGATCGACAAATGTCGATAATGAGTATAAATGCTAACAATAGGTGCGTGCAGTATACGATTCGAGTATAGTATATCTGTATCATTCGTGTGTATGTATTATGTATTTGTGTATATATAACTAGTTAATATGCTCGATTTGTCCTTTGGTGCGGGGTTTTGGTTTTATTCAATTTAGTGACGTTTATATATGTATAGATATATATAATAACTGGTGTCTGGTAGTACGCATCTAGACGTAATAATAGGAAATACGTAGATCTATTTCCCTTTTGCGATTGTTGTGGAGAATTGCATACCAAACAAGTAATGAAATGCTTCACGCTAAATTTAATAAATGCAATTTAGAGGGTTTCATTTGAGTTGGTAGGAAGCGCAGGAAGCGCAGGACCAGGTTTAGGTACAGTGGTAACTTGAAAACTAGACCGATGCGGCTTATTTTTAGTTTTTGAACAGAAATTCAAGAACGTTTGCATCATGATATATTTGTAATATAATCATTTATATAGACGAAAAATGGAAAAGAAACAAATGATTGTTTTCAAAATGAAAAACGAATTTTAAATTGTAATTTTTGGACAAGCTGTAATTATCAAGCGACCACTGCTGGGACGTGTGTCAGCTGGAACCCAGCTGGAAATTGTATCAAAATGCGATTAGGGTCGCAACAATGCTTCAAATCCAATTTGAACTGCAACACACTCTGCCAAACCATGGTCAACTGTGGAGTTTAGACGATGCTGTTGCGCTTAGCGCTGGCCCTCTGCAAGGTGCTTTGCATGGCGGCAACGACAGCCTCGGCGCCACCAATGAAAATGGGTTGATTGGCGGCGCGTCGGAGCACATGCCACATGGCCACCGGCTTTCGCAGGGAGGAGAGCATTTGGTGCCAGTGGCGCAGACCCTTGCCGACCGCACAGCTGCCGGCAAGGACATGGCCTAGAGGCACAATCCCATTCTCCGTGACGCCAAAGACTGTGAGCCGCAGCTGGACTGTGGTCAGACCCTGGGGCGGCACACTAAATATCATCGACTCGTTGAAAATGGGGCAGCGATCCTTGCGTTTCAGCGAGGTGCGCTTTTTCAACACCTTCTTCTCGTTGTTCATCAAATAGACCTGCAAACAGTAATGTCCTTTTCAGATCATGGCCATCTGTTGAATGTTGACTTAGCTCACCTTGACAAAAACATGCTGCATTGCGCCGGCAGAGGGTGAGTGTCCTTGCGACAGCTGCTCCGTCGGGGCATCCAGCTCCAGCTTGAGATTGCGCGCCTTAACGACGACTATGGTGAGGCGCTCCGCTGTGGGCAGATAGCTCAGCGAAAACATCAGCTCACCCCAACGAGCGTTGCATTTGCGCGAATCGGACAATGGTATCCAGGTGGTTATCGGACGCGCCATCTCGCCAATTTCCATCTCCGCCTCGCCAATCAGGGTGTGGGCGGGCCCATTGTGGTACAGGTGGAACCAAAGCGAGTGCCGGCCCGCCAGTCGCTTCAGACGGAAGTTGAAGCTCTCATTGTAGGCTGGAGTCAACGTGGCCTTTACCACCTGTTTGTGGACATTGGCAGGAGCTAAACACTTTCCTTTTCTTTGTGCGAATTTCCAGTTGGCGGACTCACCTTTGTCTGCATACCACCTGCATGGTCGGGCACCAGGTAGATCCGAACGAATGTGTCCAGTGAGTCAAGGCCCATGCTGTGCGGACAGATGAGTCCCTTAGCCTCCAGTATGCTCACCGTCAGTTCCAGCTGCTCCTCGCTCGGACAGCTGCTGTTCCTGTGGACGCGTGAAAAGTGACGGAATTAAGTTAAACAATTTTGATGGACTGCAGAAGACGATGAAGGTAAACTGACTTCTCAAACTGCAGGCCAACGCAGAGGTAGCCGGTGATTTGGGTGTAGGGCTGATCGAGTTGATCCAGGCACAGCGAGGACGCATCTGAGTTGACCGAATCACATGAGATTGCCCGCTCCAGATTGATGCCTTCCATTGAGCCATCCAGCGACATTTGCGAGCTGTTGCGTCTGCCCAATCCCAGGCTAATGCTCGACTCCTGACGCAGCAGCGAGCGTCCAAAGCACCAAGTCGAATTGCCATTGCCGTTAACGTTGCCACTTCCATTCCCATTCCCATACCCATTGCCGTTGGCGTTGGCGTTGGCGTTGCTTACCATTATTCCGTGGCCATTGGGCAGCTTGCGGAACAGATAGTCCTCCGATATGGTCTTCTGCAGCATGTGGGGCCCCTTGACGCGCTGCGTCAATCCGGTAAACGGATTGTTTGTGTTGTGCAGCTTGAGCAAGCGACTCGACAGGCTCTGGCTCTGGCTCTGGCTTTGGCTTTGGCTCTGGCCATGCACAAAAGGATTGCCATTGTGCGGCGTCGACTGTGGCTGGATCTTTACCTCGCTTTGTGCTTGTGGCAGCTGCTCCGTGGACTCGCACAGAAACGGATTTGTGCTGGAGTTGCGACGCTTCAGTGCCGGCGGACGACGCTCCTGCACCAGCTGCACATCATCTTCTGCTGCTGGTGGTGGTGGTGGTGGTGCCTCTGTCACCTCTGTCCCGAGATTGATGCCCTGCTGCACCGAGATCTGCCTTTTGGCAATGGGTCGCGGAATAGCAGTGGACGACAGTGTCACCGAGGCGGATGTCGTAAGTCGTGGCGGCGGCGGCGCCTCCAATGGCTGTGGCACAGCTGCCGCACCACCAGCCCCACCTGCACGCAGTGGAGAGCGTATGCAGGAACGTGGCTGTGGCTCCATCGCCGACGCTCCCACCCACTCCGTAGTTGGTGAGCTCAGCTCGTTGATCTGGCTGAAGGAGAAGGTGACCGTTTTGCTGCTGGGGCCGGCGCTATTGGGCGCTGGCGCCGGACGCAGTGGCTGAGGTGGTATGCTGACATCCGCCTGGGGCAGATTCCATAGCGGCGTCGTCGTCGTTGTTGCTGTTGTCGTTGTCGTCATAATGGTGTCGCCTCCATTGCCCAGTAGCAACTGTTGCTGATGATGTTGCTGATGGTGATGGGCATGCTGTTGCAGCTGCTGCTGATCGTCCTTATCAATGGTATCGAAGCGCTTGAAGCTGCCGCTGGTGCTCAGCAGAAACTCAGAGCCAGATTG